TGCGGGGCAGGTGTGAGGAGGAAGGGGCTGGGGGAACTCCCTGAGCCCCACAGGGCGGCTGGTGCTCACAGGACAGGCAGGGTGGAAGCGGGTGAAAGCAGGGGTGGGTGGTGGCGAGTGTCCCGGGTGCGAGTGGAGCGAGCCCATGGCTGAGGTGGGCTGGGCTCTTAACCCTCCTGGTGTGGGCCCCGCCCTGTTCCCACGCAGCGCCTGGGGGGGCGGTTCTCTGGTCCTGGGACCTGCACCCTCTGTGACCCCGAGGGTGCGGGTGGGGGCTGGCTCCGGCGACTACAGCAGACGTGGGGGCTCCTGTGGCCCAGCTGGTGCGTTTGGGGGGCTGGGTGCCCCTGCTCTGTGCTTGGTTCTTCTGGGCTCTGCTGCCGCTTCCCTTCGCGGCCTGGGGCTCAGCCCCCATGGGGGAGGGAGCGAAGGGAGGGGCCTCGCCCCCGGGGTTTGGGGGGCTGAGCCATTGGGGTTCGGGGCCTGTCCTGGGTTCAAGCCCAGCTTGGCAGTCACCTGGGGTATGGGCCTTTCTAGGTACCCAGCATGCTCAGCAGCACTGGGGGTGCCACATGGCGTCCCCAGAGTCAGGAGCTCCCCCCACGGTGTCCTAAGGTCCCGGCGCACCCCTGGCTTTGCATGGGGGCCACAGTTCTGTGTCCGCACAGTTCTGTGGGGGTTACCAGGGGCTTCCAGGCAACAGAGAGGCTTTGCCGGCAGAGCCTTGCATCAGGCTCGGCTAAATGGACCGTCCTCTGCCTGGTCAGTGAGGACCATCCTGGGCTGGATGAGGAGGACTCAGGGAGTCTGGAGTGCAGGGGCCGGGCCGCTCAGTGTGTGCCCCTCCTGGGCTCCCTGCCCAGGGAGATTTAGGGTGCCCGAGCCCCCCTGGCTGATGACAGGAGACCATTGATCAGCTAGTGGCTGAGATCCCAGGGCCTGACCCGAGGATGGCAGGGTGTGGCCGGCTCAGGGAGCTTTTGTCCGGGAGCGGTGTTCTCACCCCCAGAATGGGGCCAGGTGGGGTGAGAACACCCCCAGAATGGGGCCAGGTGGGGTGAGAACACCCCCAGAATGGGGCCAGGCGGGGTGAGAACACCCCCAGAATGGGGCCAGGCGCGGTGAGAACACCCCCAGAATGGGGCCAGGCGGGGTGAGAACACCCCCAGAATGGGGCCAGGCGCGGTGAGAACACCCCCAGAATGGGGCCAGGCGCGGTGAGAACACCCCCAGAATGGGGCCAGGTGGGGTGAGAACACCCCCAGAATGGGGCCAGGTGCGGTGAGAACACCCCCAGAATGGGGCCAGGCGGGGTGAGAACACCCCCAGAATGGGGCCAGGCGCGGTGAGAACACCCCCCGAATGGGGCCAGGCGCGGTGAGAACACCCCCAGAATGGGGCCAGGCGGGGTGAGAACACCCCCAGAATGGGGCCAGGCACGGTGAGAACACCCCCCCGAATGGGGCCAGGCGCGGTGAGAACACCCCCCGAATGGGGCCAGGCGTGGGGGAGGAAAGCGGAGCGGGTGTGACCAGGTGTGACCTGGGTGTGAAGAGCCGCAGGCTTTGCGGCAGGAGGGAGTGGCCCCGCGGCGTCAGGCAGGGCCAGCTGATGGACCGGGCCGTGACATAGGACCAGCATGTGGGGTGTGGGGAGCCGCCCTCAGACCCGCCTCCCGGCTCCCGCTCTGGTCCCACTGCCGCTCCAACCCCCGCCCCCCCCCAACACGCGGATGCCGTCAGGGCTCCGGCAGCCCCATCTTCTGGAGGAGACCCAGGACCTTTCCCGTTCTAGAGGCTGATGGCTTCCTAATCTAATTCCACGTAGTGCTGCCTCCTGAAGGGACCGAGGCAGCGCCGCTCTGGCAAAGGCTCTTAATTGGGTTCTGGCATTTGGCTCTGAGTCTATTACGTGGGCTCTGGTCAGGTGGGGCCCTGTTCTCCGTGGTCAGCCCAGGACGCCCATCACCATCGCATGGCCTGCTGCCTCCCCGCCACTCCCCACCTCTGACCTTGGACCAGACTGTGCCCAGCCCGTGGCCCGGGCCCCAGCTACTCCCCTCTGTGCTGGGGACGGAAGGGTGACAGTCTCTGCTCAGCACAGCCCAGTGATGCCGGGGTAGGGGGCCCCCGGGGGACCAGGGGCTCGGGGGCTCAGTGGCAGAAGGGCTCCAGGGCCCTCGGGACCAGGCCCCAGTCCTCACGGCGGCCTATCGCTGTGACAGTGAGTGGGGTTCTGCCCCTCGGGTCTTGTGCCCTGGGAGAGGCGAGCATGCCACCCTGTCTGTTTGCCCAGCCTCCTTATGCCCAGAGCTGCCCAGAGTGTGGTTGGCTGCCCCAAGGGCTCTCCTTGTCTGGGCCTTCGCTGGTGTGGCTGTGAGCGGCCATTGTGTCCCGTCAGCAGATGCGTGAGCGGGTCCTCCCTGGGCCCGGCTCTCCCCCACTAGGCCAGGCCCACCATGAGGAGGGAGGGGGCTTGCAGCCCAGCCTCTGGGGGCAGAACTCGGTGATGGCTGCGCCCAGGGCAGCGGGCCGCCTCCCGGAGAGCTCGGGCGGAGGGGCTGGTCTTTGGGAGCTGAGGCTGCACAGCCAGGGGCCGGGAGCACGGGGCCCAGGCTTGGGGACCCACACGGTCCCTCTAGGGCTAGGAGTGGAAGCAGAAAGGGGCCCCGCGTCCCGGGTCCTCCCTGGGCAGGCAGCCTGCTCAGCTCCGCTCTGGGTTGAGGCCCACGGAGGGCTGGACGCTGAGGGTGAGACGCTGCTGCTCCCGACCCCCTTCACACCCCAACTTCACACCCTCCCCCCTTCACACGCCCCCTCCCCTGGGACTGCGGGCGCCCCTCCCATCCCCCTTCACACCCCTCCCCCTTCACACCCCTCCACCCCGGGGACTGTGGGAGCCCCTCCCATCCTCCTCCACACCCCCCATCCTGGGGACTGTGGGAGCCCCTCAGAGCCCCTGGCAAGGATCAGAGATGTGGGCTTAGGAGTGGGGGATTCTGGGGCTCAGGCTGGGACAGAGAAGGGGCAGCAGACTTCACGTCCAGCATGGTGGGGGGATAGTGGACCATCCCATGAGGACCGGCACCCCAGGCCTTACAGTGGTGTTCTTACAGCAGGGTCCTGGGGTGGCCCCCTCTCTGTCTTGACTGTTGTCGCTTAGCCGGGACGTGGGGGCTGGTGGCCTGGGCCCCTGTTGGCACTGCCACCTGCCCGGTGCCCTCCTGGTCTCCAGCTGGGAGTTCCCTTGCCCTAAATCCTCTGGCCAGCTGGGCCGGACCCGGGCTTGGATTAGCACAGGGGATTGGGCAGCGGGTGGGCGGGGCCGGCAGAGGCCCTGCGGCTGCCCCGCCCTCCGACTCTGGGACGCTGCTTCTTTGGGGATCCCTTCGTGGCCCTGGTGGGTGGGCAGGCTGGCCTGAGGGCCATCGAGGACAGCAGGCGACAGTCGGGCCAATGCCAGAGGGACCTGGGAGCAGCCCTGTGGGGGCCTCGCAAGGCTCTAAACAGGAGGAGGAAGAAGCGGGAGAGAGGAGGGGGGCCCGTGGAGCCTGACCTGCGGCTGCGGCGGGGTGGGGGACACCGGCCCCCTTTGGCCTCCGTGGGCCACCCCTGGCCGTCGTCCTAGAATGTCTGTGGCCTGGCCATCCACCCCCAGCCAGACAGGGGGAGCAGTGGCCTGCCTGGCAGAGGCCCTCCTCTGGGTCGGAGCGAGTGTGGCTGTGTCCCCGCCGTGGCAGCTCGGCCCACTAGGTAAGGGAGCCCTGCCCTAGGGCCACTGGGCCGGGAGGGTGGGGGCTGCTTCTGGGGGTGCGAAAGCCCCCCCCCCCCCGCCGAAGCAAGCTTGTAACTGCCTGCCCCTCAGGTCTCCCTCTGGAGGTTACGGGATTCCCGTGGCAGCTCCGGCCCCCCCCCCCCCCCCCCCCCCGGGCCTAGACGCTGAGCACCAAGCAGGCGGCAGGGAGAGCGGGGGTGTGGGGATCAGGGGCAGGCCCCTCGGTGTCCCGTGTGGAGCCCAGCCTCCCTGTGCCCCCCCACCCCCCCCCCCACCGCCACCGCCACCCTGGAGTGTCAGGAGTCCTCACTGGCTGGTCTCAGAGGGCACGGGCCTTCATGGCACCACTCAAGGGTCCCTTAGTGGGTGGGTCACGTGGGGTTGAATTGCTGATGCTGCAGCTGACGGTACCTTCTGAGTCCTGGGCTTTCTGTATGAAGGGCCTGGGGGGCGGGGGCTGACCCATCCCTGGCCTGGACCCCTGGAGCCTGGAGCCTCTCCAGCCCTGGGGGGCTGCTGGCCTGGCTAGGGCCCCCTCCCCACAGGACCTGGGAGACCTGAGAGCTGCAGACAGGAGGCAGAGCGGACAGAAGAGGGGAAGGGAGGGGAGGGGTGCTGGGGGAAGGGTTTGCATTCTGGAGCTGAAGCCTGGTGCTGCCTTGGCCTCCTGGGGCCTCGCTCGGTGGCCTCCAGGGACAGACCCTCACCCTTACTGCACGGGGGAGGAGGAGGCCAGCTTTCCCGACTGGCACGGGAAGTGGGTGCAGGCTCTCGGGGTAGACCACGGCCTGTCTACCCACAGAGGCCTGTGCACATGGCCGCTCCTGAGCGTGGCCTCAGCCACCGCAGCGCCTCGTGTGTCACAGATGGTGGGGCAGGTCACGGTGGTCACTGGGCTGGGATGGACAGGTGGCTGGAGCGAAGGGAAGCACAGCTGTGGAGGACAGGGTCCTTCCTGGGACCTCATTTGGCCCGGGACGGTCGGGGAGGGTGGCCACAGCTCACCTGGGCAGCTCTGTCTGTTTCTCAGCTTGGGCCTGTGGCCCCGGGCCAGCGCCAGGGGATATGAACCCGCCGCTGCGGAGGCGGGCGTGCGGGCGGGCGGATGGGCGGTCTCTGCATGCTTTACGCACATGGGGGTGGGAGGTAGGGCTGGCCCGGCTCTCACGGAGCCTCGTCGGTCTCTGTGTCGCTTGTCTTCTGCCCGCCGCGTCCACGATGTCCAGTGGAGAGATGCATGAGCGCCATGCAGGCGGGGACACAGATGGTGAAGCTCCGCGGCAGCTCCAAGGGCCTGGTCCGCTTCTACTTCCTGGACGAGCATCGCTCCTGCATCCGCTGGCGGCCCTCTCGCAAGAACGAGAAGGCCAAGAGTGAGCGGGGTGGCCGTGGGGGGGGGGCGGTCCTGGGGGGAGGGGGCAGCCCTGAGGGGGGCAGGTGGCCGCGGGGCAGCTGGGAAAGTCTCCAGGGGGCTACGGGCCTGGCACAGGCATCTGGTTGGCCTTGCAGTTTCAAGGGGACCTCTGGGTGCCAGGCATGGAGGGGACAGGGCCCCATGCCCTTCAGGGCCCTCTAGGACTCTAGGGACCGAGTGCCCTTTCTTGTGCTGGATCTGGAATGGGCTGAGGGGCAACAGGACCTTCAGTCTAGCCGGTTCTAGGCCTGCCGCCAACAGAGAGACCCTGGCTGGGCACACGGAGGGCCGGGCTTCAGTGCCACACATTGGCTCTGGCGGCCTGGGGCTTGAGGACTGGCACGGGCTGTGGAGGCTGCAGGGCTGCCTGGAGCAGGAGGGGCTGAGCCGGAGGGCTCTTGAGGGGCAGAAGGGCAAGGCCCAGGTCGGAGCAGGGCCTGTCAGGGACCAGGCTGGAGTCAGGAAGGGACACGTCAGGGTCCCCAGGCCCGGAGAGACCCGGCTGCGCCCGGGCAGGGCCTCGGCCCAGCAGTTGCCAAGGGCACGGCTGCCGCCACGGGGCCTGGGAGCTTGGCGCGGAGCCCCTGGAGGCATCCTGGTGGGGAGGGCTGGGGCCGGCCTCTGGGCACGGGCTGCTCAGATGGGGTTCCTCCGCTGTGCCCCGCCCTGCGCCCGTTGTGGGCATTGTGTGGGAGCTGGGTTTCTGGTGTGAGGCGGATACTGGCCCCTCCCACTAGGGCGACTTCTGTCCCCCAGCGCAGAGGGGACAGGGAGATGAGGTCATGGGGGCTCCCCAGGGAATGGGTGGTGAGGCAGAGGGGGGCAGGGCGGGGCTGGGGGAGGCCGTGTGCAGTGCTCAGAGCTGACTGTGGCCTTGGAGGGTCCCGCGGAGGAAGGAAAGGGGTGCAGCTGTTCCCTGCCAGCCCCCCTAGTCTAGGGCTGGGACCCCCCCTCCTGTCACGCACACGCATGCGTGCAGGGAACTGGAGGCCGGTTGGTGGGCTCCGCGCTCCTGGGAGCTCAGGGGGTGGGAGCAGAGGACAGCGGGGGCCGCCTCCCCTCACTGCACAGCCGGCAGCCCTGCGGGCACAGCCCTGCCCAGGATAACTCCCGGAAGGGCACGGAGCCCGCGGGGGAGGGCTGCCGGAGAGGGGCGGGTGGTGTTGGGGGGCGGTGAGAGCCGGCAGGAGGGTGTGGTGGTCAGGGCCCAGCCGGGGGGGGGGGCTCCCAGAGGGGACCCTGGCTGCTGGTGCCCTGCATGACTGGGAGGGGCTGAGAGCTCAGCGACCCCTGGTAATTTAGCTTTTGAACGCAGCCCCACGGAGCCCGGGTGCTGTGGTCAGTAATGGAACCCTCAGTGGACCTGGAGCTGGTGCCCGCCGGCAGGACCCCGCCCCCCGCCCCCCGCCTGCTGGGGCCAAGCTTCCTGGGGGGGCACCGGGGGGCGGGCCCATCGCCCTGTCAGAGTGGAGACCTGAGCTGGCAGAGCTCGACAGACGCCCTTGGCCTGTCTGGGCTCCCTCACTAGGTTCTAGGGAGAGGCAGCCCCCACGCCAGCGGGAGGGGGTGCAGGCCGCGGGGGCAGAGCAGAGCAGGGAGGGGCGGGCTCACCGGCCTCAGGATATCTGTACTTTTTCTTTTTCCCGCCCTGAGGGTCCCTTGAAATACCCCTTCCCCAGCTGCCCCCAGCCTCACATGGGAAGGGAACCCACAAAGGTACCAGGCTGGCCTCTTGGGGGCCGAGCGGGGAAAGCGGAGCCGGCCCCTGGGGACAGGCTCTGACCGGCGGCCGCCCCCGCCCGCCCGCAGTCTCCATTGACTCCATCCAGGAGGTGAGTGAAGGGCGACAGTCTGAGATCTTCCAGCGCTACCCGGATGGCAGCTTCGACCCCAACTGCTGCTTTAGCATCTATCACGGCAGCCACCGAGAGTCGCTGGACCTGGTCTCGCCCAGCGGGGACGAGGCACGCACCTGGGTCACGGGCCTGCGCTACCTCATGGCCGGCATCAGCGACGAGGACAGCCTGGCCCGCCGCCAGCGCACTAGGGACCAATATCCTTGGCCTGGGGGGGGGCAGACCCCTGGCCGGGCCATGCGTTTGGGGGAGGGGCGGGGCGGTGCTTGGGCTGGGGTCCACTGTTCCCACCTGCCTGCACGGGGGGGGGGGGTGGCCACTGTCCCTGCTGGACGCGTGTTGGTCCCTGACTCGGCCCTAAAGTGGCTGAAGCAGACATTTGACGAGGCGGACAAGAACGGGGACGGCAGCCTGAGCATCAGTGAGGTCCTGCAGCTGCTGCACAAACTGAACGTGAACTTGCCCCGGCAGAGGGTGAAGCAGATGTTCCAGGTGGGGCAGGCGGGGTCCCCTGGCGTGGGCACCCTGGGCACAGGCCCTGTGGGGCTGCAGCTGCGTCCGGAGAGGAGAGGAGGGGACCTGATGGGGAAGGTCCTGGGTGGGGCCTCTGGGCCTGCAGTAAATGGGGAGCAGGGGGAAGCTTGCCCGGCGCCCTGCATCTGCCAAGATGCCCCAAGTGGCTGCCTCTCTCTCTGCAGCTGTGCGGGGCCCTCCCTGGCCTGGCAGCCTAGGTGTTCCAGGCAGGTGTCAGGTCCCTGAGGGAGACCACCCCGGGAGGCTGCACCCCCTTTCCTCCGCCCCTCTCCCAACCCCCCAGCCTTTATGCGGCGCATGCCTGGGCCAGGGGGCCGCACTGGCCTTCTTGCTGCCTTAGCTCTGGTTCCCCGCCCCTGCAGCCTCCCGGTTGCAACCACCCTGGTGTTAGAAGTTATGAAAATGCGTCTGTCAGCTGGGAGGCGGCCTTTATTGTCTGTAATTAGTTTCTTTCCGGAACTCCTGCTGGAGCAGTGGGGAGGAAAGGTGGCATCAGTCGGTCCTGGTTTGTGGGGTTGATGGGCAAGCAGAGCCAGGAGGAGGCTTCTCTCTCTCTCTCTCTCTTTCTCTCACTCACACACACACACACACACACACACACACACACACACACACGCACAGCCAGCTGTTCCACCAGGCACGGCCCCCAGTGGCTTCACATGTGCTCTCACAGTAGACAGCTGGTGGCGCTCAGCTGGGGCGGGGAGCCTGCAGCTCAGAGCACATGGGTCTGTGCATGAATGCAGGGGTGAGTGGGATGCTCTCAGGCTGCTGGTCAGGGACTAGGGGGACCCACAGGATCCCTGCCTGCGCGGTGAGGAGCTGGTGGACGGCTCAGGCCTGCAGATCAGCACCCGCCCCCCGCCCCCTGCCCTTCCTACCTCCAGGGTAGCCTTGGGATGAGAGGCCCTTCCAGAATGGGCTGTCAGGGGCCAGGCAATAGGCTGGCTTAGAACTTGGGGTCCAGCTTGGCCTGTGGGGTGGGAGGAGAGGAGTGTACCCTCACAGAATGGGGTGAGTGTGCACAGGCCCCGAAGGTCCATTGCAAAGCCTTGGCTTGAAAATGCACCATGCTGGGAGCTCTGGGGAGCCCGTGCCCCCTGCCCCTCCTGGGGCCCCTCATGTGCTCTCCAGGCACAGGGCTCCCCACAGAGCCCTCTGACCAGCCCTTGGCCTGGCGATGTCTGGGCTCCAACCAGAGGCCCTTGAGGAGTCCCGGAGCAGTGGAGACAGATCCTGCAGCCTGTCTGTGGGGTCTGGGGGCGGGGGGGCCCTGGGCTGGATCGGGGGGGGAGTGAGCAACAGGGGTGGGGGAATGATGTTGGCCTAGAGCTGAGGGCCCCGGGCCCTGGGTAGCTCAGACCCAGGCAGCCTTGTCCACGTGGTCCCGAGTGCCTGGGCCTCCCTGGCCGTCACGGCCCACCTTGCAGGGCTCTGGGCCCCAGAGAAGAAGGGCTGACCTCCCGCCAGGCAGAGCAGCTCTGAGGAATCTCAGTGTTGTTTCCACCACCTTTCCCTAATCGAAGGAGAGGTCTGTGTCGTGGGTAGAGAGCGTGTGAACATAGTTTCATGAAGTCTGAGATAACTGTGGAGTGAAGGCCCAGTGTGGGCCTCGGGCTGCAGAGCTGCTCCAGCCAAGCATACCTTTCCCTGCTGCCATTAAGGTCTGTGGACAGAAGGGCTGAGGGATGATGCCGGGAGGCGCTTCTGGGGCTCAGGGCCCGGGTCTGTCCTTAGGGGCTTCCTGAGGACTTCATCCTCATAAAATATTGTCGTTCACCCTGCGGGCTGGTAGCTGGACAGAGAGCAGGCAGCCACCCCACCTGGGCTCCCCGCTGTCCCGCCTAGCACAGAACTCGGGGAGGGGAGGCCAAGTCACCCCGTGGCTGGACACTCAACACAGTGGGGATCTCCGCCTGGCTCCACCTACACCCTGGGGAGGGCTGCTGGCCTGGCTCTGTCCCAGGGGGGCCCTTTGGTCTGCAATGTGTGTCCTGGCCTGGCCAAGCCTGCCGGCCCTCAGACCCATGGCTGTTCTCAAACTGAGCTCCAGGCACAAAGAAGTCATTTTCTGATATGTTCTGGGCCCTTGCCACTGGCTCTGAGCTCTGGTCCTGCCCCAGCCTTGGCACGGATGCTGGGGTCCTGGGGTGAGAGGCTGTGGCCTCGCTGGGTGCCCACCTCCGTGCATGCCAGAAGCAGATGTTAGAGACCAGCCTTCCCAAGAGCAGTGCTCTCCCTGGGGACAGAGACATGGGGGTGGCTGTGGCCACCCGATTCCCTGTGATGCTCCTGGTTCGTAGAAGGCCTCAGGGACCTGGCACCCATCTCCCAGCCACCCCAGATTATGTCACCACATAAAGAAAGATTCCAGATGGCGCTCAGAGCTGGGAGCACTGCTGTCCATGGTGCTGACCCGATGTCAATGCCTGCTGTGCGACCAGCCTCCAGGCAGGTCCTGCTAACAGCCCCCCCTCACCCACCAGCCCTAAGCACTCAGGCTCTGGATCAGCACCTCTATGGGACTTTTCTCGTCCATTCCCCAGGAATCACCCTGGCCCCAGGTCACCTCAGGCTACCCTGGGCGGCCTGGCCTCCAGTTGCTGGGTGCCCTTGTCCTCTGTGTCTGTCCCCAGCCTTGGCATTTGGTGTTCCCAGGGTCTGACACTTCAGTAGAGGCTCCCTGAGTAAGTGGGTTCATGAAGAAGTTCGTGGTCTTACTGGAGTCTCAGTGGGTTTACCCCTGGCGGTTCCTGCAGGAGTAGTGTGAGCTGCCCTGTCTGCAAGAGAAAGACAGTGGCCATGTGCTCTCATCTGCGCTATGGAGACTGAAGCCTAGACACTCCTGTGCACCCTGGGGCCCTGTGCTTTTCTAATCAATGGGCAGCCAATTGTAATTACAGGCTCACATCCCAGGGTGGGCATTAACTCCAGGGTGGGATATAGTCCTAGAGTGCAATGTTGGCTCCAAAGTAAGGTGTTGGCCCCCAAGATGGGGTGTTGGCTGCCTGAATAGGGTGTTGGATCTCAGGGTAAAGTGTTGACTCCCAGGTGAGATGTTGACTCCGGGGGGCGGGGGGCGGGGGGGAGGGAGGGGGTATTGGCTCCAGGGTGGCATGTTGTCTCTAGGCTAAGGTGTTGGCTCCAATGTGGGGTTTTGACTCCAAGATGGAGTGTTGGCTTCCAGACTGGGGTGTTGGCTCCCTGGTGGGGTATTGACTCTAGAGTAAGATATTGGTTCCAATGTGGGGCGTTGGGCGGGGTGAGGTGTTGACTCCAGGGATGGGTGTTGACTCTCAGATGAGATGTTGACTCCAGGTAGGGTTCCCAGAGTGGGGTGCTGGCTCCAAGGTTGGATGTTGGCTCCAGGGCATGGTGCTGGTACCAGAGTGAGGTGCTGACTCTAAGGCTAAGGTGATGGCTCCAGGATGGGCTGACTCTAGGGTAAGGTGTTAGCTCCCATGTAGGGTGCTGGTTCCCAGAGTAGGGTACTGGCTCCCAGGTTGGGATGCTGGCTCTCAAAGTGGGGTGCTGTCTCCCAGGTGGGGTGCTGGTTCCAGGGTGGGGTGTTGGCTCTCAGTTCAGGGTGTTGATTCCTGGGGGGGGCATTGACTCCCGTAGTGGAGTTTTGACTCCAATGTTGGACATTGGCTCTCTGTGGGTGACTGTGTCAGGTTTAGGTGCAAGTTGACCACGAAAGTCTGGGGCTGGGAGGATAGGGTCAGATCTGTGTTAAAGGATCACTCGGTGGCTTCTTGGTGGGAGAGTCAGAGGGAGATGCCAGTAAATTCACTGTGCCAAGGATCCCAAGGAGCTATCAGGGTGGGACACTGGGGGACCCAGAGGCTTTGGCTTGCAGGAAGCCGACACAGATGACCGTCAGGGTACACTGGGCTTTGAGGAGTTCTGTGCCTTCTACAAGATGATGTCCACCCGCCGGGACCTCTATCTGCTCATGCTGACCTACAGCGACCACAAGGACTACCTGGATGCCGCTGACCTCCAGCGCTTCCTGGAGGTGGAGCAGAAGGTGAGGGCACGACAGCAGGCGTGGGTCCTGGTGTACTTGGCCTCGCCGTTGGCTCCCAGAGCACTTGAATCCGTTCACTGTGACTGAGAATCCTTCAGTCTGGAAGGATGGGCCACAGCCTGGCACTCAGGGTCCTCAAACCTGCCTCCACTTAGTGGGCCTGCTTTGGTTCCCATCATGGGCCATGCCAGCATATTTCAGGGTGCGTTCCCTGGAGGGCCTGAGTGGGTGGCTCCTCTGTGGGCCTCTGAGTGGCTCAGCCATGACCACAGACACTGAGCTTTCTCAAGGGAGCCTGCACTTGGCCGCAGCACCTTTAGCATGTAGCACGTCGTAGAACTGGGGTTGCATGGCCCAGCCTTCCCACCTGTTCCAGCCATGGGTCTGGCTAGCTTGTACCCCTAAGCCGCAGGCCCATTACCTCCACCTTTGATCCATTCTCCCGGTAGATGCCCAGATGCCTCCAGGTGCCAGAGGGGCATGCCCACCCATTTCTCTTGACTCTAGGCCTTTCTGTTCCATACCAAGAGGCTGAGTGCTCCCTGGGCACTGCCCTGTTGACTGGGGGCCCAGCATCTGGACGCTCAAGGATGTGGGCCCCTCAACCATGGGCCAGGCAGGGGCTGGGTGCCACCTGCTGTGGTGGGCAGGAGGCTGGAAATCCATAGTGGGAAGGGGGAGGGCCAATGTCTCCTTAGGGAAGAGCATCCCTGTGGAGGGGCCCAGGCAGAGAGTGTGGCTCCCACCCCAAGGGCTGGTGCGAGGCGGCCATGAGGACCAGCGTCCACACTTGTAACTTCCTGGGACCCTCAGAGACCCAGTTTTGGGCAGAGTGGGAGGGGCAGTCAGCCTGAGGTTAGGGGCCACGGGCAGAGGCCACTGGGCTGGTGGCTGGAACTGCAGGAGCAGCTGCGGGACCCAGGCTGGGTCTGTGTGTATTTGCCCAGGATTCTGCCCCCGCCCTGCCACCCCCACTCCTGTCCTGGGTTGGCTCCTGCCCCACCTTACCCCACGCGGCCGTCCCCAGGACTGTGCCCCCAGTTTGCTGGGGTCCGGTCCTTGTGGAGGTGTGCCTCCTCTCCAGTCCTGCTGGTGGGAGCCCTGGGGTCTTACCCAGGCAGGAGAGGCTGGCTCCAGGCTGGCTGGGTGCTGATGCCCTGGCCGCTCACTCCCAGCCCAGCCTCTGTGCACAGCATTGGAATGAGGCTGTGGGTTCTCTGTCCCTGTTGCTGGTGTACATGAGGGTGGAGGGTAGGAAAGTGGCCCTGTCTGGGATGGGCAGTACTGACTCATTATTCCCTGCCCTTTGCCCTGAGCTTTCCAGAACTCTTCCTATATCTGGGGCCAAAGCTGTCCACCAGGTGGGTGGTTTGAACCCTGACCCTGTCCCCAGACTCTGGGCCTCCCATGGTCCACAGCTGCTCTGGGCTCTGACCCCACTTGCCCCCGCTCCCCCGCATCACCTGATACGCCTCCCCCACCTCCGCATACGCTGGACTTGCTGGAAGCCCTGCTAGTGAGCCTGCTTCCAGGAACTGGGGGCTCCTAGCATGGGCTGCACCGCAGGGCCCCGGGAGACCACTCAGCCTCCGACTGGCGTGGGGGGCGGGGCATTGATGCCCAGGGCCGCTCGGGCTCAGCTTCCGTGTGCAGCTTTTCTGAGATGCATGTGGGGAGGCTCCCTGTGCCCCTGGGTCTCCTCCAAGGTGGGACTTGTTCTCTGGCACCTTCTCACACACATGGCTCCCTGCCAGGCCTGCCCTGGTCCGTAGCTCTTGAGACCCCGACATGGTGGGAATGAGGGGTGGCCCAGCTCATAACCAAAGACCCCTCCCCTGCATCAAGGATCCTGTCTGACAAGCTCTGCCAAAGCCATGTGATCCACCAGTAGTCCTCTGGCCACTGAATCCCAGGTCTAATGACACTAAGGGTGGCCAGGGTGCCCCCAGTCAGGGAAGCACACTGCAGGGGCCTGAGCCGCCCTGCTGCGCCCACCGTGGTCGGTCTCAATGTGACAATCAGAGGCAGGGTGGGAGGTGGCGCTGGTGCAGGAGGAGGAGGGGGTGCTGCCCGAGGCTAGCCCGGGCCAACGACGGGCCAGCCCGGGCCAACGACGGGCTAGCCCGGGCTTAAGCTCCTGCTCTGGCCTAGATGACGGGGGTGACCCTTGAGAGCTGCCAGGACATCATCGAGCAGTTTGAGCCCTGCCCAGAAAACAAGAGTAAGGGGGTGCTGGGCATCGATGGTGAGTGGGGCATCCCTGCGGTCCAGCTGTCTCGGCGGGCCGATGGGGGGGTGCTGAGGGGCAACCTGGGGGCCTGGACAAGTGGCCTGAGCAGGTAGTTTCCTGTTCCACATGGTGGGGGTGGGGAGATGATCCTGAGATGAGCCCCATGGTGGGGCCGGCATGCGGGCACTAAGCACTCGCCCATGCTCCCCACGCAGGCTTCACCAACTACACTCGGAGCCCCGCCGGCGACATCTTCAACCCAGAGCACCACGGTGTGCACCAGGACATGACGCGGCCACTGAGCCACTATTTCATCACCTCGTCCCACAACACCTACCTCGTGGGTGACCAGCTCATGTCCCAGTCCCGGGTGGACATGTATGCCTGGGTCCTTCAGGCCGGCTGCCGTTGTGTGGAGGGTGAGTGGTGGGGGCTGTAGGAATCCAAACCCCCGGGCTAAGGGCACTGGGGTCTCTGAGCAGGGTGTCTGCCCTCCTTCCCGGGCAGGGGCTGTGATAAGGCTTCTCCTGCTGTTAATTGCTGAGCAAGAGGAGCCCTCCAGTCAGTCCATGAGCCAGGGGTCTCTGGGCCTTGGCAGCCAAGCTCCTGGAGCTGACTGAGGTCCCCCTTCCCACAGTGGATTGCTGGGATGGACCCGATGGGGAGCCCATTGTGCACCATGGCTACACTCTGACCTCCAAGATCCTCTTCAAAGATGTCATCGAAACCATCAACAAATACGCTTTTGTCAAGAATGAGTGAGTGGCTGAGACTGGAGAGGGGGTGGCCAGTGGGGTAGGAGGGAGGGGCGCACATGGCTCTTCTTGCTACTCCCCCCACTTCCTTTCTCGGGGGCAGTGTTTGCAGAGGCCAAGGGGCTGATTTGGGGGTCTTTTGTTGAGGCTGAGGGTCAAGGAAGGGAGTGGGGCTGCAGCCCTGGAGAGAGGGAAGGCAGCGGGGGCAGGAAGTGACAGCGGATTGGCTGGTCAGGGTGCCTGTGCCAGCAGCCCCTGTCCCCACACACTAGGTAATCCCTGGTGTCAGTCTCCTGCAGCAGTGGTGGCTCTGACACTAATTACCCCCAAGAAGCTACTCTATGTCCAAACTCAATTTGCTGTCACTCAGCTATAGCTACAGACACTGTTGAATAAAATCCAATTTAGTTTCTGGAAATAGAAGACTGCCTCCCCACACTCAGAGTCACCTTCAAGTCCTGGCCAAACAAGGCTCAGAGGCAAGGAAAGAGCTAATTTAATGAGGGAGGGGAGGAGAAGCAAGATTGATTTAGGACATAGAAATAGAGGGGGCCCTCCTGAAAGAGCTTGCCTGACCTCTGTCTTAGGGCTGCCAGAAGGGAGTAGGAGTGAGGAGTGGTGGCCTGGCCCCTAGAATTACAGGTGAGAGAGGCATCTCAGGGTAGGGAAGCTGAGGCAGACAGGTGTCCTATAGCTGCAGAGGACCCAGGGACCTGTTAGGATCTCAAGACAGGGCTTGCACCTCATGTGCAACCTCATAGAGTCCCCCCCCCCCCCCCCAGGTCCTTGTGCTACAGGATTCAGTCTCTTGCCTGAGAAGTGGGGAGATGAATAACTTCATGCCAAGTCCTACTTGCCTTCTCCGCCTCACAGGACTTGCCCATCTCTTGCTCTGATTCACGCCATCTAGGTCTGGGTCACCTACATTTTCTAAAAGCATCATGCTGCCTTTTGACAAAAATCCAAGTAAAATGTGCACACAGTTAAAAAAAATAAATCAAACAGGCTCCTAGGTGTCCAGTTGGTTAAGTCTGACTTCGGCTCAAGTCATGTTCTCATGGTTCATGGGTTCAAGCTGCATGTCGGGCTTTCTGCGCATAGAGCCCACTTTGGATCCTCTGTCTCTCTCTCTGCCCTTCCTCCACTCACATTCTCTCTCCTCTCTCAAAAATAAATAAACATTAAAAAATTTTAAGTAAGGGGTGCCTGGGTAGCTCAGTCGGTTAAGCGTCCAACTTCAGCTCAGGTCATGATCTCACAGTTCGTGGGTTCGAGCCCCACGTTGGGCTCTGTGCTGACAGCTAGCTCAGAGCCTGGAGCCTGCTTTAGAATCTGTATCTCCCTCTCTCTCTGACCCTCCCCTGCTCATGCTGTCTCTCTCTCTCTCTCTCTCTCTCAGAAATAAATAAAACATTTTAAAAAATCAAAATTCAAAAAATAAAAATTTTTAAGTAAATAAATCAAATAACTAAGGAATATGTAATGACAATTCCCATGCTACACTCCCCATTCTGCACTATGAAGGTAATAACAATGTTCTACCAGGTGGTATGTGCCAGGCTTATGTCTCCTCTTCTTACGGAGCCAATGTTGGGACCCCAGAGCCATTCACAGTACAGTGTCTCCAGTATCTAGGTCAATGAGATTATTTTTCTCAGTATATTCATTGTTCCATATTGCACCTGTTTAGTCCACATCATTTTTAAACCATGACCTGCTGACTTGCTTAAATGTTTCCTTTTGTTTTCCTGGAGTTTCTAATTGCCTTTGTTTTTTCTTATTGGGCTATGAATGGCATGCTTTCTTTACCTGTCTCTAAAATCTCCCAGCTCCTTTCCCACCCACTCTTTCAAAGCCATTGATGGACCCCCTCCCAGAGTGGCTGTCAGTTCCATCCATCCTGGCTGCTGGTGAAGATCTCTTTTCATTCACTGGCGCAAGTGACTTGAGGTCTTACACAGGTGGGGCCTAGCCTTCCCCTGGCTTACTCTGCTCATTCAACTTTGGGACCACAGGTACCCAGTGATCCTGTCCATTGAGAACCACTGCAGTGTCATCCAACAAAAGAAGATGGCTCAGTATCTGACTGATATTCTTGGGGATAAGCTGGACTTGTCATCAGTGAGCGGTGAGGATGCCACCATGCTTCCTTCTCCGCAGATGCTCAAGGGCAAGATCCTGGTGAAGGTGAGCCTCTGCCTGCTCCTTCTCGGGCCAGCATCCTGCTGGGCCTCTGACCTCTGAGCTGTGGCCAGGTGAGGGGCAGTTGCCCTGCTCTAGACAGTATGGGGCTCCACACCATCTGTGGCAGATTTGAGGAGTCAGGGTAGACCCTGTCCCCAACCTGGCCTTAGTCTCCCTCCATGGTAGCCATTCATTTCAATTCAATTCAACCCAGGCATTTCCCTCCCACACTGCTGCTGCAAGGAAGGGCCGGGCTGGCTTCTGCCCCGTGGCCTGAGGTCCACAAGCAAGCTTGAGAAAGGCTCCTTCCCTTTGCTGCCGCTCATGTGGGTCCTGGCCTCCCAGTACCTCCCGCAGGACCCCTCCCATGGTCCACCGCCTCCCCCCAGGGCAAGAAGCTCCCTGCCCACATCAGTGAGGATGCTGAGGAGGGCGAGGTGTCTGATGAAGACAGCGCAGACGAGATCGAGGAGGATTGCAAACTCCTCAATGGCGATGTGAGTAGGGACTGGGGGGCCCTTCTTGGGGAGCGGGGGGGCTGCAGCCCTGAAGAGCAGGCTCACAGCCTTGCTGTGAGCAGGCAGCGGCTGAGCCAGGACATCGGGCGGATGTGAGGGTGTTTTGCACGGCAGCTAGACGGCTGGGCACACACTCAGCAGGAGCGAGGGGCCCTTCCCCGCCTGCTCCTTCACCCAAGACACGGACCCTGCACTCCCTGCCGCAGGCATCCACCTCTTCAGCCGGGAGCGCTGGGGCTGGGGGCTGGCTACGCTGGAAGGCCGGCCCGGGGAGTGAAAAGGGGCTTGGCGGGGGCGGGGGGGGGGACTCTGTAATTAGCATCTTCTCTCCTCTGGGCCCCGTTCTAAGCCACTGCTCCAAGGCGGGAAGGCATTATTTCTCCCCGATGGGCCATCGGATGGGAACATAATTGTGCAGGCGCGTTCTCGGCCCTGCTGCCTAATTGTTTTAGAAAGCCCTGAGGCAGCAGAACTCTTGCTTTGGAGGCGCCTGCATATTTCTCTGGCTCCAGGTGACAGGACTCCCCTGTTTTCTGATGCCTAGCGTGCACCACTCCAGCCTGGGCACCGGGGCACCCAGATGCCCACGGCCCGGGTGCCGCCTTGGAGGGGTCCGAGTCTGTCAGGGCTCTGATTGGGGCTGCTCCAGTTGGGGGGGGGGGGGGGCACCTAGAGGCTTGGCCCCTGGTGCTGGCGGCCCGGCCGTCCATCCCGGGCCCTGCCCATCTCCTGCGGTACATGGTTGCCCCTGGTGGGATCCCAGATCCTGAGCTGCTTTGAGCTCTTGGAGCCCAGCGTGGCCGCTGGGCACAGACTGCCTCCCCCGCTGGCCGGACACCTGAATCCCTGGGGAAGCGGTGTGCAGCTAAAGGGATGCGGGCATTAAAATCTGAGAGGCCTAGTTCGGGCCCTGCAGGTCACTGGCTGTGGCCCTGGGCGGATAGCGGGCCTGTGGGGTGCCCCAGGAACGGGCGGCATGAGGGTAAGCAACACAACGTGGGAGTGAGTGTGCGGCCAGGGCTGGGTGTGAGAAGCCCAGATGGGGTGCAGCCTCCCCAGCTCTAGCGGGCCCCTGTGGCCCTGCCTGAGACCCCAGGGGCCGTCACCGCGGCTGCCGCAGGACTGGGGGCTGACAGCAAGGGGTGGCTCGGCAGGCCGCCACCAATCGGAAGCGTGTGGAAAACATCGCCAAGAGGAAACTAGATTCCCTGATGAAGGAGTCGAAGATTCGGGACTGTGAGGACACAAACGACTTCACCGTGTCCACGCTGCCCACATCCAGGAAGCTTGGGCACAGGGCAGAGGGCAAAAAGGTGAGAGCCGAAGGCCAGTGACACCTACAGCCAGGTGAACGGCCTGGAGCATGAGGTATGTGCACACCGGTGCACGTGTGTGTGCGTACAGACATGCCCCCACCCTGTGCACACACCTGCACACACCTACTGGTACACACGTGCACACCTGTGCACACACCTGCATACATCCACTTGTGTGCTCACGCACACTTATACACGTGTGTGTGCAGACACGCCCCCAACCCCATGCAGTTGAACACCCACCTGTGCACACACCTACTTGTGTACTCACACATGCTTGTGCACATGTGTGTGCGTACAGACATGCCCCCACCCCGTGCACACACCTGCACACACCTACTGGTGCACACGTGCACACCTGTGCAGACACCTACTTGCATGCTCACGCACACTTATGCACATGCGTGCGCACACAGATACAATCCCAAACCCACGCACACACCTACTTGTGCAGAAATGCATACCTGTGAACGTGTGTGTGCAGACACAACCCCAAACTCACGCACACACCTGCACACTTACTTGTGTACGGACCCCCCCAAACCCGTGCACACACCCCCACAACCTACTGGTGCACACGTGCACACCTGTGCACACACCTGCACACACAAATTGGCGTGTGCACCCGTACCTGCCCGCTGGCCCTGCTGCCTGCCGCCATGCCTCTCCACCCCGGAGAGGTGAGCTCACACCGAGCTGCTTTGATTCTGATCATAAGGCCTCGCAGTCCTCACTGTGTCCCAGGGCGGCTGGCCGGGGGGAGGGGGGGCTCACTGTGTCCCAGGGTGGCTGGCCGGGGGGAGGGGGGGCTCACTGTGTCCCAGGGCGGCTGGCTGGGGGGAGGGGGTCACTGTGTCCCAGGGCAGCTGGCTGGGGGAGGGGGGGCTCACTGTGTCCCAGGGCGGCTGGCCGGGCGGAGGAGCACCCGACTGAACTCCAGGCCCGCTCGGAGGGGGCGGATGCCGTCTTCGGCCTGGAGAAACAGGCTGGGGGAGGGGGGGCTCACTGTGTCCCAGGGCGGCTGGCTGGGGGAGGGGGGTCACTGTGTCCCAGGGCAGCTGGCTGGGGGAGGGGGGGCTCACTGTGTCCCAGGGCGGCTGGCCGGGAGGAGGGGGGGCTCACTGTGTCCCAGGGCGGCTGGCTGGGGGAGGGGGTCACTGTGTCCCAGGTCGGCTGGCCGGGGGGAGGGGGTCACTGTGTCCCAGGGCGGCTGGCTGGGGGGAGGGCATTTACGTGGCTGCTCTGGTGTGGTTGATGGCCTGTTTCCTTGAGGTCCCCAGGGTGGCTGCCCCATCCCACCCCCTCCATGCAGTCTGTGGGCAGGAGAGGGTGGGCACTCCCCTCCGGGGACTTGCAGCTGTGTGGGGCTGCAGGATGTGCAGGGGTGTGGCGTGCGGGAGTGGGGTGGTGACAGCAGGCTGTGGCTGAGGCGGTGGCTGCTTCTCTAGGATACTGGGCCCGCGGGCACCCCTCCCTCATTGTGCGCAGATTTAGAGGCGCGCGTGCGCGGCGTGTCAGGCGATGTGCACAGAGCTGTGAAGCGCATCGACCTCACTGGCTGCAGACGCCTGGCACACGGCTTCTGGCGCCTCTGCCCACGTGCCACGGAGCCGTCAATGGCAGGAGGGAGATGGCTGGTGTGGCCAGGCCGGGGGAGGGGAGACACGTGTAAATGCCGTCTGGGCAGGCGGATGCCCAGTGCTGCTGCCGCCACGGGTCTGTGCCCAGTGTGCCTTCTGGGCAGCCCACTGGCCGGGGAGGGGTGGGGCATGAGGAGGGCAGGGCCGGGTCCGAGATGGGAGCCGAAGGCGTGCCTGTCCTGACTCCCCACGGGCCCAAGCTTCCCCCCAGAGCAGGCGTGGGCAGGGGCAGGGCAGGGGCTCGAGCGTGGGGGCGGCTGTGGGCAGCGTCTTGGGCCACATGCTCCTTTTCCAACATGTGAGCCGCGGTGGACAGTCTTCAGGTGGAGGCCAAGGGCACGGGCGCCACGGTGGGCCGTCTGTGGCATGAGGTCCTGTCCCCTGTGGCCTCGGGGCAGAGCTGACCATCGTGTCTTCCCGCATCGGGCCCAGCAGGGCCCAGCTTGAGCCCAGGTTGCCTCCGCCAGGTGACCAGGGGCCTGGCTCAGCCCCTGGCTGGGAGCCCGGTGGTCCGGGCTGGGGCACGGCTGGCGGGGAGGGGTGTGGGTGCGGACACAGGTACAAGATGGGCCCCGGCGGGCAGGGAAGGGGCTCCACGGACAGCGGCGCGGCAGCTCCCAGGAGCCCTGAGGGCGACGAGAAACGGCCGGCCGCTTCGGGGGCGCAGACTGTGGTGTCTAATTGGTAGAGCCTGGGTCTCCGCGAGAGCGGGGCGGGACGCCAGAGCGGCAGGGATCGTCGTAAAAGCCTTACATAAGCATGCCCGGCCGAGGAACGTTCCAGACACACACCCTCCCTGGGAGAAGTCAGAACCAGGGCCTTAATGACTTCAAAACCACGCTTCTGCAGACCTCCTCCGAGGTCCTCCCTCCTCAGACCCCTGCCCCTGCACCCCCAGGGCGGGCTGGGAAGGCTGCCTGGAGCCTCTGGCGCTGAGGCCGGGCCCCCCCCCCAGCACTGTCTCTCCCGCCCCCTCCCCTAGGCTGAGGACGGCGTGGAGTCCGGGGAGGACACCGGTGCCGGCAGACGGAACAACCGGATCCTTATGAGCGGCTTCTCCAGGCGCAAGGTCTGGGGGGTCCCGGGCGGGGGCAGCCTGTTCCCTGTCCCTGAGTGCCCAGGGTCCCCGTGCCGGCCGGCCGGGGAGCCTCCTTCAGCCCCGGGACCCCTGACCTGTCTTCCCGAATCCCGCTTCGGGCTCCTAGCTGCACCCCCCCGCTGGGGCTGGCGTTCAGAGCTGACCTCAGTACCCGGCGGGAACTGGACACGGCAGGTGCCTCGATGGCCACCTCCCCCACCGGCCAACGCCCCTGGGTCCCTCGGGGCCCAGCAACTGGCACACTGCAGAGGACAGGCAGGCCCAGCCAGGCAGCACGGATGCCAGGCCCCCGGGATGGCAGGTGGCCTGGCAGAGCCCGGGCCCCACGGGGCCTCACTCCGCCATCCTTCCACACAGAAAAAGAGCAGCAAGCTAAAGAAAGCGGCCAGCATGGAGGAGGAGGCTGAGGACCTGGACTCCCAAGGCAGCCAGAGCCGAGGGTCAGTGCCCTGCCCTGGACCCACGGGGGCAGTGGGAAGGGCCGGGTCCCTTGTCTGTGCAGGAGCGGGAGCGGGCGTGCAGGCCCTGGGTGGCAGGGGGCGGGGGCACCTGGGTGTGGACCTCTGGCGGGGCCGGACCGGCCAGCGTCCACCCTGCGCCCGCTTCTAGCGCCCGATGCGCCTGGGGAGGCATCCTTCGGTGGGCTCTGCGCCAGCACCCGCCGCTCCCGCATGCCAGGCCTCGGGGAAGCCTGCCTCGCAGACTGGGGCGCCCGGGCTGGTCCGGGTGGGGGGCTCCTGACCCCTGTCCGCACCCGCTCTGCAGGGCGAGCCGGCAGAAGAAGACCATGAAGCTGTCGCGCGCCCTCTCGGACCTGGTGAAGTACACCAAGTCTGTGGGCATCCACGACGTGGAGGCGGAAGGTGGGGGGCCGGGCGCCCGGGGGGCCGGGGCGGCGGGGTGCTGGCCCGCATGTGCCCGACGCTGCCCCCCCGCACCGCAGTGGCGTCCAGCTGGCAGGTGTCGTCCTTCAGCGAGATGAGGGCCCAGCAGATCCTGCAGCAGAAGCCGGCCCAGTACCTGCGCTTCAACCAGCACCAGCTCTCCCGCATCTACCCCTCCCCCTACCGCGTGGACTCCAGCAACTACAACCCGCAGCCCTTCTGGAACGCCGGCTGCCAGATGGGTGCGCCGCGGGGTGGCCGGTGGCCGTGGGGAGCCCCTACCAGCCCCTGCTGGTGTCACCTGGCCGGCGCTGCCGAGGGGCCCCGGGACGTTTGCCCGCGTTCCTGGGGTGGACGGGCGGCTGCGCAGGGCCCCGGGGACGTTCTGCCGGGACGCACGCCCCGCTGGGGCACAGCTATGACCCCGGGGTCCCTGCTCACGCAGGTGAGCCCTGGAGTCGGGCAGCCGTGCAGCGGAGGCGGGGGAGGCCGGCTAGGCGCTGACCTGGCCACGTCGCCTCCCTCCCTCCCCGTAGTTGCCCTGAACTATCAGTCGGAGGGCCGGATGCTGCAGCTGAACCGGGCCAAGTTCAGTGTCAATGGCAACTGCGGCTACGTGCTCAAGCCCCCGTGCATGTGCCAGGGTGAGGCCTGGGGGCCCAGGGACACGGAGCTTCAGCAGGGCCATCTGGTGGGTCAGCCGGGGACACGGCCCCCAGGATGCCAGAAGGTGGGGGTGTGGCGGAGGACCCCCGCTCTGCCAGGAGTCCATGAGGAGTGGACCGGGGAGCCCTTCCCCGTGCTTGGCCCCACGAGGTTCCCCAGGATGACGTGTGTGAGGGGCTCCCCACAGGACTCAGGCTGAGGGACCCCCAACCACGTGTGGCTTTCTCCCCTTTTCAACCCAACCCTGCCCGCTCCCCTCCCAGCCTGCATTTGCCACCTCCTCGAGCGATGTGCTCACAGAGCCGCTCCCTGGGAGCCCAGCACCCGGCCCTGTGCCGGCGGCCGTGTGCCGAGAGGGGGGACGAGCTGTGCCCGGCCACAGGGTGGTCACGTGGGCGGCCGGCACGTGGGCGCCTGGGACCCCTGCCCCGGTCCAGCAGTAGGCTGCGGTGGGGTGCCCTGCCCGCCCTGCGAGAGGGTGGGGGCCGGCCCTGCTCTCCCTCAGCCTGGCACCCCCGTGCCCCCCAGGCGTCTTCAACCCCAACTCCGAGGACCCCCTGCCCGGGCAGCTCAAGAAGCAGCTGGTGCTTCGCATCATCAGCGGGCAGCAGCTCCCCAAGCCCAGGGACTCGATGCTGGGGGACCGGGGCGAGGTAGGAGGGGCCTGGGCTGGTGGGCGGGGCTGGGGTGCCACGCCAGGCCTGGTGCCACCCCCGCCCTCTGCCCCCAGATCATTGACCCCTTCGTGGAGGTGGAGGTCATCGGGCTCCCCGTGGACTGCAACAAGGAGCAGACGCGTGTGGTGGACGACAACGGTGAGGCCTGGGGGCCACAGGGGAGGGCGGCGGGGGGGGGGGGCCACCCTGTGACCCAAGCAGCCGGCCAGCTGCCCCTTGCAGGAGCCTGTGTCAGAGCCTGGTCCCCAGGTTCCCCGGGCCGGGCGGCCAGCCCCGAAGGAGGCACCAGAAGAGGGTGTGGGCCCAGGTGGCCTGCGGGCTGGAGTTGCGGTGGGAGGTGACGCCTCTCCCGGTGGCCTCTAGGATTCAACCCCATGTGGGAGGAGACGTTGGTGTTCACTGTGCACATGCCTGAGATCGCACTGGTGCGCTTCCTCGTCTGGGACCATGACCCCATCGGGCGTGACTTCATTGGGCAGAGGACACTGGCCTTCAGCAGCATGATGCCAGGTGGGCCGGGCACTGGCGGGGCAGGGAGGGCAGAGCCCGGGCCAGTGTCCCCCATTATAGAGACCAACATCCCCAGCTCAGGTCAGCGTCCCCTGCAGAATCCAGTGCCCCCGCAGAGCCCAGTGTCCCCAGAGAGACCGGTCCCCCCCACAGGCCAGTGTCCCCCGCAGGTCAGCTGAGACCAGGACTGGGCTTCCTTCTGTGAGTCAGCCCCTGCCACGAGTGGGCCTGGGGACACACAGGGAGCTGAGGAGGAAGGTATAAGGCCACGGGCACTTTGTGGGTGGGATGGAGGAGGGGAGCCCAGTCTGCGGAGTCTCCCCAGCCCCCAGGAAGAAGAAGAGCTGGATGGAGCGATACCAGAGGGCTTCTTGGAGAAGGAGGCCCCAGAACTGGGCTCACGGGTTGTATTCAGGGCCTCGGGACCTGCGAGGAGAGTGCGGGGCAGGGTGAGCCGTGACCTGGCTGTTTCAGGCTATCGGCACGTGTACCTGGAGGGGATGGAAGAGGCCTCCATCTTCGTCCACGTGGCTGTCAGTGACATCAGTGGTAAGGTGAGCGCCACCCAAAGGGCCACCTGCCTTGGCCCCCGTCCCACCCCCGCCATGTTGCCAGGCAGTGAGGCCCAGTGGTCACCTCTCTGGGCCTCTTTCTCCACCTGCAGAATGGGCGGTGGGGACACCTGGCCTGTGTCCCGGGGCTGCAGGCGCCAGGAAGCAGACACCCTGGCCCTTCCCGGGTCCCCCTGTCCCCTCCTCGTGTCTCCTGACCTCCGCGCTCCTATGTCTCAGGGTCCCCGGTTCTCCGTCCCTCTCTGGAAGGTGTCTGCCTGGCTTTGCTCTCGCCCCCCGCATCCCCGATGGGGGTCTCACTCCATCGCCCCAGGTCCGCAGAGCCCCGGGGGGCCCCGGTTCCGCTCTCGGGGCCCAGGCGGGGCCTGCGTGTGGTGGTCCGTCCCCTGTGCACGGGCGGCCCGTGTGGTCCTGGCGCTGCCTCTCTCCTGCCACCGCGTGGCCCCGTGGCCCCGTGGGCCGCTCGGCTCTGGCCCAGCGTCAGCCCGTCCATCTGTGGCGTCTGCCTGTCTCCGCGGGCTCTGCGCGGCTGTCGGTGTCTCACGGCCTGCACTCTGTCTCTTTGGTCTTGCAGTGGACTTCCCTATGTCTAAAGTCTACCTTTAGAAGGACAGTCCCGTTAGGAGCTCGAAGGTACCCCAGCGCCGGGGCGGCGGCCCCGCCGGCCCCCTGCATGCTCAGGCCGCCCATTAGCATCCGTGATTCCTGGTAGCATTTTGGAGACTTGTCAGCTCATGTGACATGGATCGTGCTGTGGTTCTGGGGTCCCTCGGGCCATGTTCAGCCACAGAGCAGCATTTACGAGGCAGGTCCAGGACTTGAGCGAGGCCTCCTGTGCATGGACCCCTCCCGGCCGGCCGGCCCTCCTCCGTCCTGTCTGCCGCCCCGTGTCCCCTGCCCACCTGTGTCTGCTCCTCCGGCTTTGAGCCTCCCTGGCCCCCTGCACCCGTCGCCCCCCTGCCCTCGCTTTTCCTCTCTGCCCCGCCACGTGCTCCCTGACTCCGTGTGCCCGTCCCATCTGGAGTGGGGTGGGGAGGCCCCAGGGACCAGGAGCTCTGAGCTTGAATCCTGGACCTTCTTCTAAATGACTTTGTGGGCAACTTTGACCAAATTGCTCTGGATTTGGGATCTTGAATCGGGAAGCTGATTCAAGTGCTGGCCACTGTCACACCTCCGCCCGGAAGTGCCTCCGCGTCACCGGGGAGTGGTGGCTGCTGTTGGGGCCTCTGCATGTGAGGACCCTTCTGGCCTCTGCACTCTGGACACGCAGCTGCTGGCCTCTCCGGTGTCAGCCTGGGTACTTGCCAGCTTGGTCCCAGGGACCTCCAGCTGCCCTCAGGCAGGGAGGCTGCAGGGAGAGGCCCTGGCTGTCCAGGGAGGCCCGAAGCCAGCAGCAGTTCAGGGAACGCTGAGCCAGTGTGGGGCCTGACCTTAGGGCTCCGTGAACAGAGAGCAGGGTGAGGCTGGCAGCAGCCCAGGAAGGCTTCCCGGAAGAGGCAGCACGTCTGGGGACTGGGCCGGGCAGGGACTTGGGAGAGCAGACCGCTGGCCCGCACTTGGCTTTGCTTGCTTCCTCGGCCTCTGGCGCCTGAGGGCGGGGGAGAATGGGAGCAGAAGGTGCCCGCTCCCCTGGGGGTTCCTCCCCGTGTCAGCGCCGCCCCGCGGGCCCTGGGCCAGCCTGCTCTGGGGTCCCTGTGAGGGGTACATGGTGTGGGCGCAGGATCCAGGGCTCGGGGAGGACTCTGGGGGGCCTCGTCCGTCTGGCCGTCGCTGGGCCCACCTGCCCTGAGACCTGTACACCCTCCAGCCGTGCTCAGGGGAGGCGGGTGCGTTCTAGTCTGCGCCAAGGCCGCAGCTGCCGCTGTCCCGGAGGGGGCGCCCTGGACGCCCTCTCCCATACCCACAGCCCCGAGTGGCACAAGCCCGACGCATTCGCTGGTGCCCTCGCCGAGCTGGCTCTCGGGCTGCGGGAGGCTCAGTCCCGTCCCCGCCTGCCGGAGCGTGCCGGGGCCGGGCTGGCAGTCCCTGGTCCCCAGTGCCCGGCTGCTGGCTACGTGGGCTCTTTCTCTTGCAGGTCAAGCAGGCTCTGGGCCTAAAAGGCCTGTTCCTCAGAGGCCCAAAGCCCAGCTCCCTGGACAGTCATGCTGCTGGCCGGCCCCTGCCCCGGCCTTCCGTTAGCCAGCGGCTCCTGCGGCGCACGGCCAGCGCCCCGACTAAGAGCCAGAAGCCGAGTCGCGAGGCCTTCCCGGAGCTGGTCCTGGGCACGCGGGACCCCGGCTCCGAGGGGGAGGCCCGTGACGTGGCGGCCCCCAGCCCCGGCCCCGCTCTGGAGGCCTCCGCCCCGGAGGAGCAGGGCAGCCGCAGCCCCCGAGGTAAGGCGCCGGTGGGGAGGAGCCCGGCGCGGGAGAGTCTGGCCCAGGGGCAGCCCCCCTGTGCCCCCGAGGGCCCCGGACCCGCTGGGATGGCCGCCACCTGCATGAAGTGTGTGGTGGGTTCCTGTGCTGCTGAGGACCCCGAGGGCCTGCGGCCGGGGCGGCTGCCCAGCCCGGGGCCCACGGCCGGGCACGAGGCCATCAGCCAGCAGCCCCGTGCCCGGGCGGACTCGCTGGGGGCTCCCCCAACAACCGCGGGCAGAGGCCGGGGGGCCCGGTCGCAGGGTCCGGGCGGCGGCGGCGGCGGCTCTGTGTCCTCGGACTCCAGTGGCCCCGGCGGCCCTGAGGTGGCCCCCCGCCAGCCCGAGGGCGCCCGCAGGCAGGCAGGGGCCCTGCAGAGGGAGATGAATGCCTTGTTCGTTCAAAAGCTGGAGGAGATTAGGAGTAAATCCTCCATGCTCTCCACCGGTAAGACCAGACGCTCCTCGGTGGCGTCCTCTGTGCCGTCCCCCACGCTGCCCCTCGGCATGGCCTGGGCCGGGGGTCCCTGCTGCGCTTCGTGTCCAGAACCGTCGCCTCCAAGTGCTCGTAATGGCTTCATTTCCCATTGCTCCCTGCTTGCCTGAGGGTCCCTGTAGCCACCAGCACCCCTTCCCCGCCTGACTGTGACGGCCCGCACAGACGCCCCCCCCCCCGCACACCCCCTCCTCCCCTCCAAGCGCCTCAGTGAGAGCAAGTCTGACCACAGCTGCCTCGGGGGCTGAGGTCGGCGCCCCCAGTGCCCACGTAAGCCGGCTGCTGCTGCCCTTCCTAAGCCCTGGGGGCAGCTTCCAGCCCCCCCCCCCCCGCCCCAGGGCCAGGCCGCAGGTGTCCTGCCCCTGACTCTGCACTGAAGGCCTCTGGCGAGTCTGGCGTGGGTCAGTGGCACCCTGCAGAGTGGCCCCCGCTGCCCCCGAGATCCCTGGACGGTGCCCAGAGTGCAGGAGCGGCCCCTGCCCCTCGGCCCTGGGGATTCATGAACGGCCTGAGCTGTGCTGAGCACCCGCTGTGACTGGACCCCAGCCTGAGGAGGGGCTGAAAGCTGAGCGTCCCCTCGCGCCCCCTCCCTGCACCCGCCCAGCCTCGCTGTCTATCCACCTGCCAGCCCCTCCCACATGCTGACCACCTGTTCTCCTTTCTGTCCCCACGCTGCCTCTGTAGTTAGGGACTGAGAGCAGCCGAGTGCCAGGTAATGGGGCCCGGTCCCCTGTGCACCCTGTGCTGTCCCGGCCTGGCCTGTGAGGCGGGCCCCGTGGACCCCGCCCATGGGCACAGGCCTGTCCGCCCCGTCCCAGCCCCAGCAGCAGCGGAGCCGGACGGCAGGGTGGGGGCAGCTGGTGCACATGGAGGGGCCCGGCTGGTGGGGGTCCCGTGGGCACTGTCCGTGGGGGATGTGCCTGACACCCTCCTCTCCTCTCGTCCACAGACACCCGCCCCTTCTCTGTGCAGAGGTCGGGCTCCTCCCTATGTGGCCTGGAAACCATTGCTGAGGAGCCAGCCCTGGGCCCCGGCCCCCCACCTCTGGTGGCTGCCCCCCCCAGTCCGTCCCCGGGAGGGCTGCCGTGCACCTCAGGACGTGCCATCCAAGTGGCGAGCCCCCCAGCGGTGGCCCTGGGAGCTCCCGTGCCCTTCCAGCTCGGGACCCGGAGCAGAGGGGACACTGAGCAAGCCCTGGAAAGCCAGTGGCGCGTGTACAACGGAGGGGGCGCAGGGGGGGCCTGCGAGGGCGCCCCTAGCAGCCAGACGGTCAGAAGGGCGGACGCTGAGGGGCAGGTGCCCCCGGAGAGCCCGGGCGGGTGGCGGCCCTTGGCTGGGCCCCGCCCCACCGTGTACTCGGACGCCACGGGCGGAGACCGGCTCTGGCGGCGGCTGGAACCGGGTGGCCGCCGCAGCAGCGTGTCTTCGTCCTCCAGTGTGTCCTCCAGCGACACGGCCATCGAGCTCCCCCTGCCGGGCCCGGGCTCGGGCCGGGACGGTGTCTCGGGGGCTCCGGCCGGACGCCTGCCCCTGCGACCCTGCTCGGCCTCGGCCGCCCGCCTGGACCTGCCTGCCGTGTCCAAGAGCAAATCCAGCCCTAACCTGCGGGCTGCCGGCCAGCTGCCCGCGGCACTGGAAGAGCTTCAGCCCCGTCTCCTGGCCCCTAGGCCGCCCTGGGGCCGCCTCCCCCTGGTGGGTCTCCGGGACTGCCCTGCGGCCGCCAAGTCCAAGAGCCTGGGGGACCTGACTGCTGACGACTTTGCCCCTCAAGTGGAGATCCTGGGCCGGAGCCTGGGCCTGGCGAGGGAGGGGCGGGCCGGGCGGGGGGTGCGGCGGGACGCCCTGACGGAGCAGCTGCGCTGGCTCACGGGCTTCCAGCAGGCCGGCGACATCACCTCGCCCACCAGCCTGAGCAGCGCGGGGGAAGGGGCGCCCGGTCCCCCCGGCTTCCTGCGGCGCTCCTCGTCCCGCAGCCAGAGCCGCGTCCGCGCCATCGCCAGCCGGGCGCGGCAGGCCCAAGAGCGGCAGCAGCGGCTGCAGGGCCCGAGGGGACCCCCCGGGGAGGAGCGGGGCACCCCCGAGGGTGCCTGCTCCGGGGGCCAGGGGGGCTGCGGGGACGTGCCCGCTGCCTGCAAGGGCTCCGCTGCCCCTGGCCTCCTGCTCCGACTCTGAGGGAGGGGCCCACCCCTGGCCCTCCGTGTGCACCCCTCCCCCGGGGAGGAAGCGGCCCGGCCCCGCGTCGGGGGCTGTTTCCTGACGTTAAGATACACAAGAGAGGTATTTAAAATTTAAGAGACAAAGCTTCTACTGCATTAAAATGGTGCCCAGTCCTCTTCCACTCGTACATGGTTTTCTGCAGCGCGGAGGGTGCAGGGGTGCGGGGGCCGCGCTGCTGCAGGGGCGTGGGTGCAGAGGGGCGCAAGGGGAGGGATGCGCTGGTGCAGGGGTGTGGGGGCGCGGGTGCACAGGGGCGTGGGGGCGCAGGTGAAGGTGCGCAGGGTGTGGGTACAGGTGTGTGAGGGGCACGGGGGTTGTGGGTGCAGGGGTGTGGGGGGGTGGGCGTGCAGGGGTGTGAGGGATGCGGTGTCTGGTAGGCGTAGGTGAGCAGGGGTTCTGGGGGTGTGGGTGCACAGGGGCTAGGGGGTGCAAGGGCACTGGGGATGGGCTGGTGCAGGGGTGCAGATGCGCAGGGGCATGGGAGTTGCGGGTGCAGAGGGGTGCGGTGGACGCTCTGGTGCAGGGGCGCAGGGGGTGCAGGGGTGTGGGTGAGCAGGGGCATGAAGGGTACGGGTGCACAGGAGGTGTAGGTGAGCAGGGGCACAGGGATGCGGGGCATAGGAGTGCGGGGATGCAGGGTGTGGGTGTGCAGGGGTGTGGGAGGTGCAGGGGTGTGGGGAACGTTCTGGTGTAGGGACACGGGGTGCGAAGGCACAGGGGCACGGGGTGCGGATGAGCAAGAGCACCGGAGGTGTAGGTGAGCAGGGGTGTGGGGCTGCAGGGGAGCGGTGGGGGCTGCAGGGGCGAGGTGGGCAGAGGCATGGGAGGTGCAGGTGCTCAGGGGAGCGGTGGGGGGGTGTAGGTGTGCGGGTGCACAGAGGGCGCATGTGTGCAGGGGCGCACTAGTGTGGCCCCAGGGAATGCTTGTTACGTGCCCAGAGCTGCCCGTTCCCTGCCCACCTGTGGCTGGCTTGGTCCGCACGGAGGCTGCTCTGGACGCCCTGGACTCCGAATTCCCGGCCACAACTCCAGCACACGTGTCAGCGCCTGCCTGGCGCAGGGGGCCCCTCCCCCGCCGCCTGCCTTGACCGTGAGCTAAGCGTTCCCCGGCCCAGGTCTGTGTGAGAACACCCCTGACCTCTGTCCACAGAGGACCTGCTTGGTGGACTGGCCCCCAGGCCCACTCTGGGACAGGGGACCCCCAGCCAGAGGACCCCTAGCTGGGGGGCTGCCCTGGGGAAGCCGGACGCCGGCTGGGCCACAGGTGATCCGTGCCTGGGCTTGCCCCCCACCCGGGCATGTGGCCTCTGTAGGAGCCACCTGGGGTGCCGGGACCACCAAGGACCGCTGTGACAGGCCGTGGGCCTGGCTGGGAGGCTTAGTGTCCTGCCACCAAGATAAGACCGTGGGGGAGGTGGGTGCGGCGCGAGGCTGAGTGTTGGTGGGTGGGCACACCCTCCCCCCAGGGGTCTGTAGGCCCTAGGGCCCTGCACCAGCCTCTTGTCCATCTCCGCGAGGGCCTGGGTGGAGGGTATCTGCTGGCCCCACACCCCCCAGGCCCCCCAAGCCCCTGGGAACCCTCCCCCACTCAGTATGGGGTGCATTTTTGTGGGAAGCTGCACCCCAAGGCCAGGAGCACCAAGGCAGGGCACTCAGGTGTGCCTGGCCTTCGGGGACCCTAGAATCTGGGGTGCAGTGAAGGGGGTTCTGGCCAGGGGTGGGGTGGGGTGGGCGGCTGCTGGGGTTCCCAGAGGTGGTGCCCACCTGCTCGTGAGAAGTAGGGGCCAATCCCCGTCCAGCCCTGGGTGGGCCCTGCCCGCTGCGCACGGCTACTGTCCAGGGGTGGGGCTTAGCCCCCAGAAGCCCAGGAGCAGGGCGGCTGCTCAGAGCCCTGGTGCCCCTCCTAAGCGCCAGGCTGGGCGGCAGAGGGCCTCGGGGTGTCCTGACAGCAGGTGAAGCCGGGCTCTGGCTGGGCCCCCCCCCAGCCAGGCCGGTGTAGCTCCAACACCAGGAAGCAGGGGACCAAGGGGCGGGGAAGGAGGGGAGACGCCATACCAAGGGGGCGTGGCTGCTGCAGGGGTGCTGGCTGGGAGGCGAGGGGCTGGACTGCGGTGGGGTCGGGGCTGGGGGCCCTTGTGAGGGGTGGGTGTTCATAGGGACCACCAACTGGGCCAGCCTGGCCTGGGGGGACCCGGAGCTGGATGCCCATGGGGCCACAGTCGGCCTGACCAGAGGAGCAGCTGAGAGTGATACAGGTGGGGGTCACTGGGGGGCTGGAACAGCGGATGGTCACGGCCCCTGAGTGTGCGGGGGGGGGGGTGGGCTGGCCACGCTCTGAGGCGGCAGCCCTGCACGACCTGACGGAGAGGTCATCTCGCGGCCCCCCCTACCCTGTCCCCTGGGGCCCAGCCAGAGGTGCCCACCACAGCCAGGGCTCCGGGCCCAGGTCCAAGGCCACGGGTGTCATCGGCTCTAAGCAGGAGTGTCCCCAGGCTCCCGGCCCCCAAGGGCCCTCAGAGGCCCTCCCTGGCTGCCGGTCTAGTCGGGAGCGCCGCCCCACCCGTCTGTCCCTCTTGTGTCCAGCGGGGCTGGGGGTGCAGAGGGCAATCTTGTCTGTATACACAGACACACCGGGGGGTCTCCTGGCTCTGGGCCGGGCTGGGGGCGACGGCCGTGGCCCACAGCCTGGGGCTCCAGGACTAACTGAAGGGAAGACCCTGCTCTCGGCCCCCCAGGGGAGAGGCTCTCAGGACCCCTGCCCGCACCCCTTCTCTGAAACCATGCAGCACAGGCAGGGGTCCGGCCCCGCTCTACATGCTCTACGTGGTGTGGACCCCAAGCCTCTGGTGACGTGTTGGACACGCGTGTGTATATTTATATCTATACATACATATGTATATATATATATAAAAGATTATTTAACAGTTAAATATATTCCAATACGAACGTCTCACCGGACAAAGCTGCGCCTCCCCCGCGAACTCGGCAGCACCAGAGACCCGGACGCCACGCGCGCCACGCTCTCCCCGGGCGCACCCGGCCCTCAGTCACAGGTGCGCCACATAAATACTCTGATTTGAACTTGGTTTCCCTGCTGTGGTCGAAGCACATTCCCGTGGAGCACAGTCCGGCGGGGCGGGCGCCTCACTCGGCCGGGACCTCGTACTTGAAGATGACGCTGAACAGCCGGCCGCCCAGCCGCTCGGCCAGCCACGAGTTCTTGATGACGGCCAGCTTGAGGCTCTCGCAGCGCAGGGCCGCGTAGTAGTTGGTGTGCACGGCGCGGCCCATGCCCTCGATCACCACCAGGTCTGCGCCTCGCTCCCGAACCAGCACGGCCAGCCCCTTGTCCAGGCGGCTTCGGGGAGGAGAGGGGCGGTGAGGCGGGGTGGCGGGGGCCCCTTCGCCCCTGCACCGAGGCGGCCGCCACGCCCTCCCCGCACCCCTGCCCTCTGGGGCCTGAGAACTCGAGTCTGTGCGGCCCTTCAAAGGCTCTAACGCCTTCCCACAGGAAGGTGCGCTCCCCCTTCCTGTGCACTCACGACGGGCCCAGAACAGGGAGGAGTCGGTCCTGAGCAGCATCCCTCCCCCCAGGGCTGGCTCCTGGAGGCCGGGCTCTCTCACGCATGATGCCCCGGGGCAGGCAATGGCGACACGGAGGCCCAATCGTCTAGGGGCATGTGGGGTGCCCGCGGCCCCACTCTCGGCCTGAGCCGCGCAGCCTTGGGACATCGGACCCACCCAGCCCACGGGGCAGCCATGCCGCGGACAGTCCCCCTCCTGGGTCCCCGAGGGAAGAAAGCTGCCCAGACCAAAGGGCTACAGCTGCACTGATGACCCTGCCGCCCATCACGCACACTGGGGGCCAGGGGCGGGCGGGGAGCCTCGGGGGTACCTGAGGTCCAGACACGGGGAGCTGGAGCCGGTCTGCATCAACAGCAGCCTCTCCTCTTTGAGCGCCGAGCTGCCGAGCACAGGGGGTCGGTTGGCACCCTGGGAAACCCCCACAGGCCCCCGCTTCTCCGGGTTGGCCCTCACCCCCCCGGGGCACCCGCCCCACTTACTGGACGACAGGGTCCATGGCCGCGATGCGCTCCGCCACAATGAGGGACTCGCAGTACGTCACGTCATTCAGGGCGGGTCCCGAGTTGCACGCCAGGATGACCTATGGCGGGACGCCCCGAGCTCTGTAGGGACCTCAGTCCCTGCCCGGCGCTGAGCCGGCCTCTGCTCGCCCGCCCACATGCCGCTGCCAGCTGGGAGGTGCAGCCCCCGTGACCTCACTGCTCCGTGGTCTCTGGGAGGGCCGGCTCCCGGTCGGGACGAAGGCGGCCCGGAGCAGGCTGACCTGAGGTCCGTGCCATGACGAGCCTCACCTGAACCTACCTGGCCGCGTGGCGCCAACCCCCACCGCGAGTGGAGGGCCCAGGGCAGGGGTCCCGACTCGGCCTGGACACTCACCTCCGTCCCTCTAGAGAGAAGCTCCCTGACAAAGGGGAAGACTCCCAAAATGACGTCTATTCCACTGTTATCTGCGAAAATTAAGGCACATTTGTGAGGGGGCCCCTGTAAGACAAAACCAGGACGTTCAGTTGGGAACAGGCGCGTCCAAGCGTTCCAGACACCTCCGTACTCCACACTCCCCGAAGGCCGAGGGCTGCTGCGCCCCGCGGGCGCCGGGGCGCTGGGGGCACGTGCCTCCTCCAGGACCGCGGCCCCCACCACCTCCGAGCGGAGGCCGCCTGACCCGTAGAGCCTGTGGGACTCAGGCCGGAGCAGGGGCGGTTAGCTCAGACCCACAGCCCGGAGGCCGGGGGAGCGGGCGGGGGCCCTCAGTGCACTGCCCCGCGGCAGCCCCGCGCCATCTCCGGGGCCCGTCCCCACCACCTCGGACAGAGGTGGGGGCAGCTGTACCTTCAGTCTCTGAAGCCACTTGCTGTAGGAGTCCACGAGCCACGGCCGCTCTGCAGGGCACGGACAAGGTCAGCCGCACGCTCGCGGGCAGGCCCCCTCCCCCGCCCAGCCCTGGGCAGCCTACCTTGTAGCTTCATCTTCGCCTCCTCGAAGCCAAACTGGGGGTCAGACTCAAGGACACTGCATGGGGGAGAGAGAGCAAAGTCACAAAGGACCTCTACCTCAGCTCACAGGATCCGCTGTGGGCCCTGAGTGCAGCCCCTCCCAAGCCCGTGATCGCTGCGCCCGCAGCTGATCCCGCCGGATGTCGGCAAAGCGCACGGCCCCTGGAGCAGCACCTGCTCCGGAACACAGACAGCGGTGCCGGGGTGGGGGTGGGGGGGCAGAAGGCAGTGGGCAGGGGAGGTCCTGAGTCGGGGGCAGCCTCAGGCAAGGCCCCAGGTCGGTGCTGGCTCCTAGCCTCGCCCAGCACAGGGACAGCCAGGGACGAGGGTGAGGAGGGAGAAGGATGGCTCTTCTCGATATGGGAAAGGATGCCACGTGTGAAACCAGAGAGGGCCACGCAGGGGACAGCGGGCGGGAGACAGGGCACAGGGCACAGGGCGAGGTCCAGAGCAGGGACGGTGTGCTGCTCCTTCAGGGACCCCGGGAAATCACTCTGGGTTTTGATGGCACCCCAGACCGAGAGCCTGGGTGCTCTGGGGTCCTGGGGCACATGCCCCCACCCTAGCCCACAGACTCCTTCCGAAGGCACTCGCGTTTCTCACTTTCAAACGTTAAGTGGTGTTTAACTCCAACTCCGGCATGCCCAGGGTTTAGATTTCTAGCCCCGAAAACCTCAGTGCACAAAGCCACACCCCAGCCCTCCACATGTCTGCTCCCCTCAGACGGCCAGCAAGGCCGGTCCATAGGGCTGCCCGTCATTCCCGGGCCGCTGGGACCCCATCGGGGGCCGACCGGGGCGCCACGTGTGACGGGGTGAGGGGCGGGGGGACAGGAGGGGCAGACGCGCGGCGGTCCTGGGCCCGAGCTGGGCCCAGCAGGCGGGGGGGCTGTGAAGGCAGCACCTACTCAGACACAGCTTTGGCTCCCCAGTCGAAGACGTTTCCCGCCAGCAGCCCTTTCACCAGGGCCAGCTGCCGCTCCTCCCAGCCCAGGGCGTCCAGGCAGCGGACCACCCTCGGGAAACACTTCAGCGCGACCCCATTTTCCTTCTGCTTGACCTGTGGGGACGGGCGAGCGACGGGTCAGGAGCGACGGCGCAGCCCTGCCTTCCTCGGGCCCTCGGCGGAAGGGCGGAGGGAGGTGCCCTGCTGGGGACCCCTTGGACAGCGTCACCATGAATGTCACTGTGAACCGGCCCTGAGGGGTCACAGTGCTCAATGCGCCACCCTGGGCGTCCACGCAAGTCCGGCCGAGGTTAGCGGAGCACGCTCAGACCACACCGCGGGGCACAGGCTCAGGCGGGCTTTGGCCACGCCGTGGCCCAGCGCAGGGCAGCAGAGGGCCGAGCTGAAGACTCGGACCCCCAGAGGTGCCCCGTGCCCCGTCCGCAGACGCTCCGCCTGAGGGCAGGGGGGTGGGAAGCGGTGTGAGGCACGGCCCTGAACTCCCACGCACACGGCCTTCTGCTCAGTGTGGCCCCAGGGAGAGGGTGGCTAGGCCACCTGCCAGGCTCCGGCCAGCTTGTGTCCATGACACGGGGCATCCACGGACGCTGACGCGGTGAGCTGACATCACGCGGTCAAAGAGGTGGGGCCTCCAACCCTCCGCTGGGGCAGGTGCTGCCCGCGTCCACCCTGCGCTCCCGTGAACAGCCAGGCCACACCCCTGCTCCCTGCGGGCCGGGTCCCTCTCACAGGCACCAGCCCGGCATGGGAAGGCGGCACTCACTTTGGAGTAGGGGTCTGGGAAGTTGAACTCGTTCAAACAGTGCTCCCTTGTGTCCAGAAGGCTGCGCACGGTCAGCGTCCCATAAGCACTGGGGACAAGGCGGGGGAAGGGCGGCTGAGCGGCTCCGACGGCCAAGCACGCTGCCCACCACCCCTTCTGCCCCCAACGGCGTCTAGATGGGAGGATGTGGCCAGGGGTGCGTGCAGAGACGCACATGTGGCCCCTCGCGAGCGCTCGTGCCCACGCCAGGCCCCCCCGCTCACCGCAGGGCGGCCCCGGGCAGGGACACTCACAACGGCTGGTGTCGCAGCGTCTGCAGCTTGCGCCAGTACTTCTGCCGGAACTTCTCTGCCCGCTCAGCCGCGTCCACGGAGCCCGGCTGGCTGGCCACGGCGCGCTTCACCACCTGCGGCCACGGGGTGGTCAGCACGGCCTGCACACAGGCCCGCGCCGCTGGCAAGCCGTCTCCCGGGTGGGAACAGGGTCACTCGAGCTCCGGCCATGCCAGGGGGACAGGTGGTCGGGGGACAGCCCTCGGAGGCTGTGTGGGTCTGGGGTGGGGCAGGAGCCCTCACTCTGAGGACCCCAGGGGCCCGAGGGGCGGAGGAGGGACGCGTGTTCCCGGGGGGCCCCCGAAGTCCTCGAGTCATGACTCTTCAGAGCCCAGAGCCCAATCGCTGCTGTCCCGACCCCGCGCAGACTTTGCTTTCTGAAGCGACGTACGCAGCTCGGAGATCCCCGCTGAGCTCACGTCCCAGCTTGCTGACAAACCACCGGGAGCCACGTTTTTTACCTGAGAAACGCACTCCGCCCCTCAGGCTCACACACAGCAAGTGGCTTCTGGAAGACGCCCCCCTTCTCCATCACCGCACCTGCCGCTCGCCCCTCGGAGCCCCCGGCCCCCGACGCCTGTGGGGGCGGCCGCCCCGAGCCCTCACCCCGTCCAGGGCCTCCTCGAAGCAGGTGAGCCAGTACTTGCGGGCCAGGGCGTCGTCCGTGAGGTCGACCGTGTCGGGCACGTAGGAAGACGGGTCCAGAAGGAGCGGCAGGTTGACCAGCGGCCTCTCCAGCCGGTCCATCTCCAGGAGGTCAAACTAGAAGGACGAGAAGCGGCAGACGCGTCACCCGCGCGGCTCTGGGAGACCGAGGCGCCTCCTGCCAATCTGGGAACCAGCTTCCCAGCGACAACAGAAGGGGCCCGGCGGAAGCTGCTGCGGGTGTAAACGGACAGACCCCCCTCACCCCGCCCGTGGCCCCCCCCACTCAGCCACACGCCCTCCATCTGGCCAGTGGCCTGACCCACGCACCCCAGACCCTGAGTCAGCCTGGCCCCACGGAAACCACCTCCCTCCCCCCCCGGGGAGCTTCCTGGGACCCCTGTGGCCAGGGGGCCCCCACACAACCCCCAGACACACTGGCCACGCTTGTGGGCCCACACTTGCTGCTGCACACGCACTGTCCCTACTCACTGCCCCGCAGGCCCTGCATCCGTAACCCCACAACACGAGGTCCACGGCAAGGCCACGGGGACCCCGTGGGACAGGCTGTCTGGGCCCCACACGGGCTCCTTTTGTCTCCACGGCACAGGGTGCCTGTCACACAGCCCGTGTCTGACGCCAGCTCCGCCGGCTTCGCTGAGGGGCCCCTGGGCCACTGTATGCCCAACGTGCTACGCATGGCTGCCAACGACGAGCAGGCTGGTGCTCCGGTGGTTTCTGAAGGAGCGGCCACTCGGCTGGCCAGGGTTTTGATTTACGTAGTCAAGCTCGGCCTGGGCCCACGCGCGCGAGGACTCAGCACCCGCCTGGTGGCCTCTCCTTGCCTCTCGGGAATGACGCGCCCCGTCGCCATGCACCCGGACACGGCTCTGGTCTGCCAGCGGCCTCATAGCTGGCAAGCCCGGGGGGTGAGGAGCAGGTGTGCTCCGTGCCGTGGCGTCTGCACTAGAAGGGCCACCACATGGGGCCTGAGGCCCCGAGTGACAACAGGTTCGGCCTGGAAACAGCTGGGATTTTCCACACGAGGAAAGAAAGTGGACAGTCACCGACCTCCCGGGCCTCGGCCCAGTCCACCTGGGACCCCGCTACCTGGGCACGCGGGAGCTCACGCCTCAGCCTGGCCTCGCGTAGGCTCTGCAACCCCGAAGGAATGACCTGGCCCCTCTGCGCTTCCGTGTCCCCCTCTGCGCAGTGGGGTCTCTGCCCCCCCTCGCAGGGCCGCACGGAGACCCGGCGCAGCAGGCACGCGAGGCGCCAAGCACGCGTTGCAGGGAATGGCCCGGGTCCACGTCCACTCTGATAGGGTGATAGGGTGACTTTCTGCTCGCTTATGTGCTCGGTTTTACGATCCCTAAGGCAGCAAGCCGCGTCGCCTCCCTACAGACCACAGACCAGGGGTCAAAGGCGCAGAGACCCGTCGCAGGCCGTTTGCTGCTCCAACCAGGCCCGGGGCGTGGGGGGCCCGCTCTCTGGGGGCCGTGATCGGGTCATACGCGTTCTTGCGACGCTTATGCTAACCAGGAGGGGAATCTGCGTCCGTAACAGAAAATCAACTCTGCGTCCAGAAGGCCAGCAGGCTGGTCCTCGTGGGCCCACGGCTCTCCAACACGGTGCCCCAGCTCTGGTCACTGCTCGGAGAGTGACACACCATTTGGGGGGTGTCTCAACCAGCCTGTGACTTCCTGACCTCCCCCAGGACGGGGCCACGGTGGTAGCGTTCCGTCTGGCTGACGCCTGTCCCGGCTGGGAGACCCTCTCTACGCCCGCTCAGCAGGCCGGGGGGGCCCCGCTCCTGTCACACAGGCCTCTCCCGTGGGGACTGAGGGAGGGGCAGGAGCCTAGCAGGGACGGCAGACTCTGTCCTTTAATTCTGTTTGAAACCATCAGGCAGAGAACGCGATCTAGGGAAGGGCGCGGGGGGGCAGGGCGTGTTGTACGGCTCTGGGTTGTGAAGCCACGACTCCGGGGAAACACGCTCTGGGTTCTCCCAGCAAACACGGGCTGGCGCTCTGGCAGACACTTGGGAAGTACCAGGAGGAGGAGGGAAGCAGGCTCGATGCCTCTCTTTCGCCCCAAAGTCCAGGCCCGCTCGACGGCCGGTCTGCCCCGGGAGAGGGCCTCTGGAACCCGACCCCACCAAGGACCCCGTACTCACGGTGCCACTCCTCGCCCGCTGTGTGGGGCACAGCTCTGGGGATGAGCTCATCAGGCCGGAGCTGCCCGCGTAGTTTTCTCCCCAGCTGTACTGGTTAGGGTCTGGGGAGGGGAGAACCAGGTGTCACTCGGACCCCAGGATGGAAGGTCTCCACGGCACAGGGGGCCTGGGGCTCTGTGCTGACACTGCCGTATTACTCGTCGCTGGCGCCGGACCTTTCAAAGCCTCTCAAAGCCCCTGCCCTGCCCCGCCAGTGACGTCCTTCAAGCGTCCTTGAAAAGGGATGGCCCAGCTGGAGACGGAGCCCGGCAGACAGCCACCCTGGTCCCTGCTTAGAGCCCTTTCCACCCACAGGGACGCCCCCAGGGTCAATCGCTCGGCACGTGAACCTACGTGTCACTTCCCACTGACCCCTCGGGCCCTGGACTCCAGAGGAGGAGTTAAGCTGGGGGGGTCACAGCCTCTCCTCCAAGGTCAGAGACCCACCCTCTCGGCCCCCGCGGCCTCCAGCCCCCACCTCCTGCCGCCCAGGCTCTGGCCCGGCCCGAAGCAAGCACAGGGCCCCCACGGCCGCCCCCCACGGCCGCTCCCCCCACGGCCGCCCCCCCCACGGCCGCCCCACTCACTGTCTTGCTCTGCTCCTTTGAGAAATGCTCCGATGGCACCCAGGTAGCCCTCATGTCTCAGGAACAGCGCCTGGACCTCCCCCTGCGTGGCGAAACCCCACCTGAGCTGACCTCAAAGTGACGCCCGGGCAGTTTTAAAGCCCACGGTCAGCCTCTCTACGTGGTGGAGGCTTCCTGGAAAGTCTGGAATGCATCTGACGAAACCGCGCTCTGTGCGGAAGCTGGAGGCCCGGCATTTGAAGAAACCGGAGGAGGAAATAATCCTCCACAAACTAACGCCCACCCCGCCACGCCCCTCGGAACGACAGGCGTCTCAACACTCGCCTGCAGCTTGCGCCCCATGCAGACGGCCCCAGAGCGCTGTCCGCTGGCATCGTGCCCAAGCAGTTGACAGCCATGGCGCCATCCTGGCAGGGGGTCCCCACTTCTTGGCCCCTTGGCCTGGAACCCCACCCCCACCCCCCACCCTGCCCCTGGGTCGGCTGGTTTTGAAGACACCAAGGGTCCACGCCGAGTGCGTGGGAAGAGCAAAGCCCAGGGTGCCAGGGCGGGGGGTGAGGGGCGGACCTTGGAGAAGAAGTTGATGCTGTAGGTGATGGTGCGCATGGTGGCGGGGTGGCCCCGGATGAAGAAGCCACCGAAGTACACCCTGTCCAGGCAGTGCAGCTTTGCATGCAGGCAGGCGAGCTGCCCGATGTCGTTGCTGATCATGTGCAGCAGGCTCTTGGCCATGTCCTCCTTGGAGAACTCTGGGAGGGGAGAGGCAGGGCGCTGCTGGCGAGGCCAGGCCGTGGAGGGGAGGGGCGCGGGCACGCAGGGGGGGACAGGGGCGGGCGGCTCACCTTTGTCAGCAGTGGCCGACTTCCCGAAGCTGCTGGCGATGAGGTTGCCGCTCAGCCCCAGGGTCTGGTGGGCCCCGCCGTAAACGTCCTGCACCAGCATGTCCACGTTCGCGTGCTGGCCCTTGGAGGCCAGATGCAGCAGCTCGTCAAACTTCTGGGGGGACAGGGCGGGTGGAAGGGGGTGCCGTGCGGGAGCTGGTGGTGTCCCCACAGCCCAGGAACCAGCCCCTCGCGGCGGAGCCAGCCGGGCCAGGGTGGCGGGGCTGCACCGACCCCCCAACACCGGGCAAGACCCCAGCCGCCCAGGCCGCCTCCCGCAGAGACCGGGGCGCAGGCAGGACCGGGCCGGACCAGGCCGAGGAAGGAGCCGCTTCCACAGCAACCCCGGCCGCCTCGGGTCCCACGGGCACCACCCCCGTCCCGAGCAGGTGTGGGAAACGGAGCTGGATGCGGAGCAGGGGCGCTGGCCACGGGCGGCGGGATACCTTGGTTTTGGTGAGCAGAGCGCCGAGTCCCCAGAAGGTGCCACCTCCGATGGAGCTGCCGCCAACCCACTCGAACCGGTCCTCCGTCTCCACCTGTGGCGGCAGCGGCAGGGGGCAGGTCCCGCGGACGGCCCCAGAAGCGCGGAGCGCCACGGGAAGACCCAGCCTGGGCCGCCTCCCCACCGGCAGCCCCCACCGGCGGTCCCGGCCCGGCCGCTGCGCGTGGGCCGCGGAGCCCAGCTCACCTTCACGATGGACACCCCAGAGCCGATGTTGACCAGGAGGTACGGGAAAATGTTGGGGTGGTTGGTCTGGAATCGAAACTCAGGCTCGGAGTCTTTCTGTTACACGAAGGCCTCGTGCGGGATGTTCTTCAGCACGAAGTTGCAGCCCTTTATCAAGCAAGTCATCACGTCCTCCCTGTCCACTCTGCGAGGGAAGGAGCCCGGCCACTGAAAACAGCACGGGCCACAGAAGGCACCTGCGCTGCAGCGCGGTGGCTCAGGCCGGCCCGGCGCCCGGGTCCCCGCGGGCCACTCCGCGCTCAGCTTCCGACTCAGCCACTCCGAAAAGCACCTTCCCCCTCGCGCGCAGACGGCCGCAGGCGGCCAGCGTCACGGTGCAGACCTCGCGCCTGAGCTCCCAGCGCGCTGCGGGGCACCGCCGGGGTTCTGTGCGCACACAGGCGAAGCCCACAGGGACCTCTGTGCCAGGGCAACGGGCAGCAATGCCACAGGAGCAGGGCCCCTTCCTTCCTGTGCCCCCTGGCCCCCCCCGGACCCCCAGAACCCTCCCTCCCGGTCTGGCCCCAGCGCAGGGTGGGGTGGGTGCGGGAGCCAGGGCCACCGCAGCCACTTCATAGCACCCCCCGCCCCGAGAACCAGGCCCGCGGCCCCCGCGCCCTCCAGCCTGTGCTCCCCACTTACTTCAGCCGCAGTTTCTCTTCAATGAGGTCCTTGAATTTGTACGCCCCGCCCCCGGTCGCCTGGATGACCTTGGTCTCGGTGTTGACGAGGTGATCTTTGATGAAATCCAGGCAAGCTTCTATGTAGGTGTTCTCGAATTTGACAAAGTGCAGCCGGGCAGTGACCTCCTCCTGGACTGAGATCTCGTAGGGCGGCTCGTGCTCCTGCTCTGCGTCCTGGGGATACAGGTGGGGGGTCTGTGTGTGCGTGCTGCCCTTGGGGAGGGAGAGATGTGGACATGAGGCGCCTGAAACATAGGCAACGCTTAACGCTAAGTTCAGGCCAGAGGCAGCGCCGGGGCGGGGGCGGGGAAGGAGCCGGCTTCCCAAGGAGGAGGCAGCCGTGCCTCCCGACGGGGTGCAGATGGAGGGGGGCCGAGCTAGGGGGCGGGGAGTGGGGGTGTCGGGTGAGGAACCGCCAGGAGCCGGGCCGGTGCGTGTGAGCAGCAGAGGGCAGATGGCGAGAGCGCCCGCCCAGGCCCCCCCGCCCCCCCCCGAGGCTCACCCTGCCCGAGTACTCGAAGGAGCGCACTCTGGCGACCTTGTGCTGCACGGTGGAGTAGTAGGCGAGCTTGGTGAGCGACCCCCCTGCAGGGAGACATGGGCGGGCGTCAGGGGCGGGCGTCAGGGGCGGGAGCTCGTCCTGTGGTCGCCTGGTGCTAAAGCTCTGCGGGGCACCGACTGGGGGAAGGGAAGGAGCTGTGGGGCCCGAACACGCTGCCGTCTCTGGAGCTCTGCCCCTCCCCGGGCCAGAGCGGGCCTCGGGCTGCCCACGGCCCCCGCGCACCGCGTCCTCCAGGAGAAAGGCCAGCGTCCTGTTTCCGGGAGGCCCTGGAGACCGCTAGCGGTTTCGAAAAATCTGTTTCTGCTCCGGTCTGGAAAGCGACGCGGAGAAAAAGGCTAAGAAACACACGGCTTTTGCCGACAAGCACACTCGACTGTCCGTGGGGAGGGGGGGTGGGGGGGCAGAGGAGGGCTGTCTGGTCGGGAATGTTCTAGCAGTGCCCCTCTCAAAGCTCGGGGCTGGGGGGCCTCACGGGGGCAGCAGGGTCTCCTCCCTTCCGACCAGATGTTGTGAACACCACCAGGAAGCCCAAACATCAGGAAGCAGAAGACGCCTTTATTTGCCTGAAACACGTTCAGGGCCAGTTAGAGGCTCCGGAGCAGTCACTTTCAAGAGTGAGCTCTGAGGAGGCGGAGGGGCCTCGGGGAGGCGGGAGGGGGAGGGGCAAAGGCTGGTGCCCACAGAACGGCCGTCGGGACACGCTGTGTGAGCGGGAGGCTGGAGGCGATCTCCCAGAGTTGCTTTGTGACGCCATCCCCTGGGAGCACGTGACAAGCACTCAAGTCCGGAAACCTCTGGAAACAGCAGGTATCAGAGGCCTGCAGCTCTTCCAGGTCACAGATCGCAAACCGCCGCTACCGAGGGCAGCCGCTGGGAGCCCGCCCGGTAGCGCGGACAGGGCCTCCCGGGCCCCCTGACCTGCCCTTGTCGGGCCATGGTCAGCGCACCCGCTCACGGGCTTATCTCATCGCCAGACCAAGGGCTGTAAGAGGCAGGACTCGGTCTTAAGCCTCCTTATCCGTCCTCCCTGCCCCCAGTCCCGGCCTGGCCCAGAGCATCTCGGCGCGTCTTTCACCCCATGAATAAACTGAATAAACCTCACACAGACAACGCCAAGGGAAGAAGATGTATTTTGAGACTTTTCAAAAGTTACTGCAAACAAGCCCCCAAGTCACAGAAGTCCAGTTTCCGATAGTGAGCTCTTTACACGAGCTTCCCGTCACAACCAAATACGAGGTGTCGGGGCTCGTGGGGCTGCGGTGGGAGACAAGCTGTTCCGTGTGCCCCACCCCATGCACCCCGGTGGGGACTGGCCAGCAGCCAAGCCACATCTCCCTGCCCGCCCGCAGGGGGGACGTGCGGAGCAGGGCGGTCAGCTTCACGGGGCAGGAGGGCGGGTGCCTGGGGACAGCAGGGGGCTCGGCCGTTCGAAGGATCCCTTGGATTTTGTGACTGCCGATCTGGCCACAGGCCCTGCCAGGTCGCGCCTGCTGAGCGCAGCAACCGGGCGGGCGGGCGCGCAGCCGTGGATGCCAGAGACACACCGGTGGAGCCCGTGCCCAGCTCAGGGCCGACAGCACCCGGACCGACATCAGCCCGCCCGTCCCCTCCTCCAGCACCTGAGCTGGGAGCCCCCCCGCCAAGTTCATCCAGATCCACGGGGCCTGGCGCAGGGCCGCCCTCTCCTCTGCCGTCTTGGCCTGTCCTTCCGCCGTGGGCACCAGGTCACTGCCCCGCCGCCCCTTCCTCTTCACCCGAGGGGCCCGTTTGCTGCCCAGCAGAGACCGGAAGTCAAGTCAGCTTCCAGCATGTGCTCGGAGACAAAACGTCCCTGATGCTTTCAAAGCAGGGAATCCACTGTGCTGACAGAAGTGACGGAGAGAGGAAAAAGCTTGCCAAGCACACAGAGCAGCTGAGCTCTCCTGGAGCAGGAGGCTCGGGTGAGGGAAGAGGAAACGGGAGAAGCCTGTTTTTAACGCAAACTGTGGACAAGCACACTGACTCGTGGGCTCCCGGGGGGACGACCCGCGTCCAAGCTGTGCTCACCGGCCGCACAAGCACGAGTCTGTCCTTAGTAACAAGCAGACACGGGACCCAGACGCAGGGGGGTTCTTCAAAGAGGAGAAATGAACACTGGCTCTAAGGATATCCCTTTGAGTGTCCTTCTGGCCAGGAACCCGCCTGGGCTTGGTGCAGGAGGGCAGGCCGCTCCAGGACCCCCGGGGGCCACGGCACTTCTTTCTTGACTTCCCTCACCCCGTGGCTACAAGCCGGATGCTGGAAGCCACAAAGAACATCTAAGGGTAACCCAGGGCGAGCCAATTTTCAGCTGCACTTTCAGAAACGTTAGGGGCCAACCCGTTGTTCCCATGGAGCAGAACCCCAGGTATAAGTGCAGCGAAACAAAGTCTGGAACATCAGAGCACACACCTGTGGGCCCCTGTCACATCAAGGCACAGGCAGGTCTCAGAAGATGGGCAGAGCAGGGCCTCTCCCACTGCCAGCCCAGCGTGCAGCCAGGCACCGAGCTTAATCAGGTCCCACGCTCAGCTCATTCTACGGCCTGCTGTGCGCTGGGGTCCCCACGCCCACCAGGCCTCCCGGCACCTCACACCTGCTGCCAGCTCAGCGCCCCAAGGCACTGCCCTCACAACCCCACCAGCCTGCAAGGTGAGCACTGAGAACACGGAGGGCCCAGCCCACGTTTCCACTCTCCTGGAGGACACCCTCCCCCACCCAAGCCCAAGAGACACTTCAGTGACTCTCAGGAGCAGAGGAGAGGCAAGAGCATCACAAGCAGATGGCTCCAACAGGAAGGGCCCGGGGCCAGAGAGGGCAGCACACTTGTCCCTTCTAACCTTACTGGCTAGCTTCACAGGTCGGGGGGGGGGGGGCTGCTGCTGGGATGCTTAGCCACCCACACATGGCTACTGGCGGCCCCAAGCAAACTGAGGCCCCAGCGGAGAGCCAGCTGAGAAGGAGAGGCTCGTGAGGCCACCATGTCTACTCCAGGGGCCTCACCCCGTGAAGCTGCCCCCAGGAACCCTTCATTCCGCTGCCGAAAGGGGCAGAGCAGCCAAGTGCCGAGGCTTGACCAGATTCTAGGCCCATGTAGCCGCTTACCAGCCGACCTCAAACATTTCAGGTCACCTATCTGACCTCAGCTCCTCATCTATGAAAGGCGCTGCTGGGAGGCGGCCGGAGCCAGCGTGAGATGAGGGTCTAAGGGCGGGCCCGGAGCAGGAAGGTCGGGCAGAGCCTGGGCGAGGCCGTGGGGTCACCCCTGCGGCCCGCGCGGGGCAGGGAGGCTTCTGAAAGATGCCGGCAAGGGTCCCAAGGTCCACGTCCAGGTCCTCCGAACTCCCGCCAAATGTCAGCGGTCCAGAAGCCGAGGCAGCAGCGGGAGGGCTTCGGGCTGGGCCCAGGCGGGCAGCCCGCCGAGGGTTCCCGCGGGCCCAGGCCGGGCCGCAGCCCGCCCTTGGCGCCGCCCCAGGCGGCGGGCCCCAGGTCGCTCTCGTGGCTCGGACAGGCCCCGCCGGCCGCCGACCCTACCCGGTGGACTAACGAGAGGCCGCCGGGCCGCCCGCCTCTCCGCGCGGGACTACGAGGGCCGGCGTGCCCTGCTCCGGCCACGCAGCGCCTGCCGGGAGCTGTAGTCCGGCCGCCGCGGCCAGCGTGGGCGCCGACGGCCCGCGGACTACGAGGCCCGACAGGCTGTGCGCGCCGGCGGCCCGCGCCCCGCCCTTCGTCCTTGCCACCGCCCCCGGCCCGCCGGCTCCACCGCCCGCGCCCACGCCCGCCGCGCGCCGCCCAGCTCCCGGCGCCGGTCCGCGGCTACCTATGTCAATGGCGAAGCGCTTGGCATTCTCCAGGTTGCGGAAGATCTCGTCGGGGGGCAGCGTGATGCTCTTGTCCAGGCTGTCCCCGCTGCTCCCGCTGCCGCTCGCTCCGCACTCCGCCATTTTGAATGTGCCCGGCCAGCCTCATCAGCCATGGAGATATATGCGCATATATTTGACTGCTAAACGCCTCCCGCGCATATATTATGCTAATGAGTCACCCGGGCCCGCCCCTCCCTGCGCGCCTCTGTGGTCCGGCAGCTGGAGGGCCGCTGGACCTGCCCGCGTGCGGGGGTCCCCGCGGCCGTTGGCCCAACACAAAACGTCTGGGCGGTTGTCTTTGTTGTTCCTTCGCCGAGCTGGCCGGATGCTGACCTCCAGTGCTCTGAGCTAGAGCAGAGGAGGCTCCTGGGGCTTGCGGAGACCTGCCTCTTTCAGCGAGTGCAGCTGCTACCAGGGCGCGTGTGGCCCACCAGCCCCGGCCTACAGAGACGAAGGACCCTCGGTTCCAAAAGCCCCATGCAAACTGGGGATGCCAGGGACCCTGCCTTCCAGGCGCCCCAGCCTGGGGTGGACGATGCACCTTCAGGTGGGGAAGACATGCACCCTGATGGTTAGATCTGCAGACAGTGCAGGGTAAAGCAGGGCAGCCCGCCTGGAGGAGGCTGCCTTATGGCAAAACAGGAAATCTATAGGAGTTTGTAGGGAGCGATCTGAAAAAAATTCCTGAAGCTACAGCATGGACACGGATGGCGGTGGGCACGGGTTTCAGGGCCAGTCTCTGGGAAGCTCCTGCTGGCCAGGAGACCTTTGAGGGGTCATGCCCCAGAGGCACTGGACGCTTCAGGGAAGAGCCCAGTACTGGCAGCAGACAGACTGTCCCTAGGACAACTGACTCCCAGGTGACCCTGGACTGGTTACTTCTGGTCTCCGGACTTCAGCCTCCATCTGAACATGTCACCAGCTGCATGGCAAGGCCTCCGGAGCACAGGCCTGTGGAGCAGCCCAAGCTCCACGCTCCTGGGGTGGTCAGGGGAAGGGCTGGCATTTTCTAAGGGGTGGGTGTGCTGGGAGGGGAGGCCTGGTGGGGGAGGGCAGAGGGTCTGCTCCTAGAGCACGCAGGCCTCAAGCACCAAGGACCCTGGGCCGTGGGTGGGTGCTGGGCTGGCCTGGAGAGGGCACCTCGGATGTTCCTGTCGGAACGGACAGGAAAGGATTCCAGAAGGCAGAGGGGAGAGGTGGGCCCAAGAGGGAGGCTGGCCTGGCTGCCCGTCTCTCTGAAGACATGGGGGGGCGTCTTGGTTCCACCGCCCCTGGGTGGACCCGTCCTTTGGGGAGCCTGGGCCCTTCCAGCTCCTTGCAGGCTCAGCCGGCACCTCGTGGTCCCCCTGAAAAACAGACGCCCTTTCTGGGGGAGGGGACTGCCCTCGGGGGGTTCACCCCTGGCACTGCCCATCTCGGCCCTGGCTCGAGGTCGGCCTAGGGGAGGGCAGGGTGGCCACCTGTGGATGCCAAGCAGGTGCCTCCAGGAGCTCATCCAGGATCAGGGGCCATTCGAGACGGCCAGTGTGGAGGCCAAGACCTCCTGCGTTTGGCCCCACGAAACCCCTTTCGCTGCAACAAGAGAGCCCCCTGCAGGCCGTGGCCTTTGCACCCCCCTCAGGTGAACAGAGCTGGCAGGTCCTGGAGCTGGGAGTCTACCCCCTCCCCCCGCCCCCCACCTGCAGGGAGCTAGTGAGAGGCCTGGGACAGAGACCCCAGTCTCCCACCGCATTCCTTCCTGCTGCGCGTGGGGGTGCGTGTTCTCTGGGCCTCTCCTCGCAGCCTGCCTCTCCCCTGCTTGCCTGCCTCCTCGCATCCCTCCCTCCTTCCTTCAGCCGGGACCAGCCCTTCTTCCGCCGTGCAGAGGGTCACTGGCAGCGACAGCTCCCACCCCTGGTTGAGTACCATGATGGTGCCCGTCCCCCTTCCCCACGCAGACCCGCCCACCGCGTGGCTGCCAAGGACACACGTCAAGCACAAGAGACAGACCCCAGAGGGCTGCTTCGTCAGATTTTATTGGAAGTCTGCAGAGCAGTCCCGTGGGCTCCCACGTGACCAAGAGTTCAAATTCTGAGTACAAAGTCATGACCACATGCACCCGCCCACACAGAGGGATCCTTTGAGGATCATGGTGGAGACCCCCACCCTCCCCTCCCCACAAAGCCCACTATGAGCCCCAACCAGACAGCCCAGTGCACGCAGGGCCTCCTGGCCACAGCCCTGCACGGCCCTTCTGTGCCCACCCAGGCTGACACTCTTTCCTATGAGGATACACCTTGAGTTCCGCCTTCACAAAAGGCAAATGTGCCCACGGCACGGCCCGCCCGCCGGGCCCCCCGGCGCGGCAGCAGCAGGCCCTGAAGAAAGTCCTCTACACGTGGAGGCACCGGCTGACCGAGCCCCTGACGCCTACAAATATCATAGAACCCCGGGCGGCGGGGACTTCCCAGAAGTCACTTGCTGAAATGCAAACAGAACAACCCCGTGGAGTCAGACGCTTGTGAGAAGGCGGCCCGGACCGTCCTGAGTGACCAGGACTCTGCGAGCAGCTTCTCTCGAGAAGGACCCTCCTGCTGGCCCGCCAGCCTGGAGCGAGAGCCTTCCGGAGAAGGGGGCCTGTCCAAGCCCCAGGAGGGACACACGAATGGCCAGAGGTGCAGGCGACCTCTGGGCCGCCACCCGCGACGTCCTGGCGGGTCACCAGGGCCGCCAGAGGCTGCAGGTGGGCTGGCGCGCTGTGACTGCAGTGGCCTTGGCCGGCGTGAGCAGGGGTGGAGGCGCGCTGCTGGTCGCCTTGGGTTCCTTGGCGGGCGCGGCGGGCGCGGCTGGGGGGCGCTGGAAATGGTAGAGCAGCTTCATCTGCGTGTCGCTGGCCGCGTGCAGCGTCAGGAACTGCACGGCCTCCTGCAGGCACCACGAGTAGCCCTCGCTGTAGTCCTGCTGCAGGCTTTTGGGACCGGCGGCGGCGGCGGCGGCGAAAGCTGCAGGGGGAGGCGCAGTGGTGACCGGGGGGCCGGGGCGCAGGCCTGGGGTCGGATGGGCGCCGGCGGGGGGTGGGGATTGGTGGGGGCGGGGAGCGCGGGGCGGCGGGGGCGCAGGGCCTGAGGCCGGGAGGGCGCGGGGCGGCTGGGGCTCAGGGTCTGAGGCCGGGAGGGCGCGGGGCGGCGCTGGCGCAGGGCCCGAGGCCCGGTGGGTGCGGGGCGGCGGGGAGCGCGGGCGGGGGCGGGGGCGGGGCGGCGGGGGCGCGGGCCTGAGGCCGGGCGGGCGCGGGGAGCGCAGGGGCGCGGCCGGCGGCTCACCTTTGCTGTGCTTCAGGTAGCTGACCGCCATCTCCAGGATGTCGGCCTTCTCCAGCTTGGAGTTGGGCTGGTGCCGCGCGAACTCCTGCTCTAGCAGCAGCTTAAGCTGCTCGATGCTGCTGTTGATGCGGTCGCGGCGCATCTTCTCCACCACGGGCTTGCGGAGCTGCGGGGGGACACGGGCGTCAGCCGGCGGCCGGGGCGCAGGCGCGGGGGGCGCGGGGGCGGGCGGGCGGCGCACTTACTCGGTTTTTCTCTTTGGGGCTGAGCAGCTCCACGGCCACGGTGCTAGGGGCCATGCCTGGCGCGGAGAGGCGGCTGGCGAGCGGGGAGTGGCGGGCGGCGGGGCCGGCGGGCCCTTTATATGCGCGGCGGCGGGCAGGCGCCTGGGGCCCGGGCGCCGCGGCCGTTCCCACACTCGGCGGCCAATGGCCTCGCGGGCCGCACAAAGGCGCCGGCCCATTAGCGCACGCTAAATTGCCTGTGAATTGGCGCGGGCACAATGGGTGCTCCCCGAGGAGCAGGTGGGCCGCTCGGCACAATGTCCGGGCTGTGGGAACGCGCTCGCCCTCATTAGCATCCCGGGGCCTGATGCTGGGAGCCCCGCGCCTCAATATGCTGCCTTTTCCCAGGCCTCGGGGATGGGGGGGGGGCCAGGAAAGAGTGGTGCCCCTCCCCGGCCCTCTCTCCCCTCTCCTCCGCCTCCCCGAGCTCCCCGCTGGCGCTGGTGGAGACTAGTGGGGAAAAGCTTCAGAGTGAATTAGTGCTGTGCCTTCCAGCGGCTTGGGCACCTCTGTGTCAGGGACCTGCTGCCCCCCCCCCCCCCCCGGCGGTGGAACAGAGGAGCCTACACTTTCCCTGCTCGGGCGCCTCAGCCTTCCCTGGGCCCGGGTGGAGGGTGGAAGAGGGACCCAAGCGCTTTGGACCAGACCTCCGGGCTGTCCCCTGGGACACGTGGCTTCTCCAGAGCTGGAAAATTGGCTGCCTGCACTCCTGGCCCAGCGTTGGGTCGCTCTGGGGAAGCAGACCGTGTGACAGGCCCAGCATGGAGCGGGTTCCCCAGGCGACCCCCACCCCCAGGAGCTGCTGCACCCCATGCTCGGAGGAGCAGCGTATCAGGCAGCAGCATCCGGGGTGCTCTGCTCCAGCAGGTGCTCCTTGGGGTCACACCCGACCCGCATCTGGCAAGAAGTACCCCCAGAGCCGTCCGTGGAACGCAGGAGGGCACATGGTTCAGGGATATGCTTGACACAGGCGTGTGGTTGCTGCACACGCGAGACTCGGGGAGCCCCTGTAGCGTGCTACCCTCTGCCCAACCTGCCGGGCACTCGCAGGGCTCGCTTCCCTTGGGCACTTTGCCAGTGGGCGGGGAGGCAGGGGGCCAGGTGGCAGACACGAAGGCCAGAGCAGGGCAGGCCTGGGGCCCACGTGGACACGGTACTGGCTCAGATGGCGGCCCCCGAGGGTGGCCCTGGAAGACCGGTAATCCTGGTGTCTGGCCAGCCACGCTGAGGGCCAGCAGCTGCTTCGGGGCCCCCCAGCCCCACGCTGGCCCCCCGGGAGCCCCCTCTGCCCAGAGCCTCCATCTTCCTCCGATTCTCCGGGACCAGGAGGCCTGCAGGGACCCAGGGAGCCGCAGGCACTGGGGCCCCCTCCCGGGCCAGGGCAAGGCTGGCCAGGTTCCGGAGGCAGGCGGGGCCCCTGCCCTGGGGGCGGGCAGCTGGCATTAGGGCTCGTTAGCCAGAGTGGATCCGGGAGCACGTCCACGTGTGGCTGGAAATTGCAG